GGTTCAATCCCTGGCATCTACTCCTGAGCCCGCCAGGAGTGATTCCTGAGCACAGGGCCAGCAGCAGAGCCAGGCGTAACCCCTGAGTATTGCCTGATGTTTTTTTTCCCTGCAAAACCCCCTCATTCCAAAGTCACACTCTGAGGTTCTGCGGGACACATCTCTTTTGGGTCCCCAATGATCCCCTCCATGGGCCCCTACGCGAGGATGCCTCTCCTGATATGGGGACCAGAGTCCTCTTTGAGTTTCCACACCCTCGGCCACCTGGGTGGGCCACCTCCGAGGGTTCGAGCCCCTGCCCAGCATCTGGGTGAGACACGAGGGTGAAGGCCCACACGGTGGCTGGGGTGAGGGGGTACCCAGGAGAGAGCGAGAGTTCCTGGGGGCAGGCATTGAAGAGTTTCTCTCTGCAGGAGTTGGGGGGACATGGAAGGGTCACCCCATAGCCATCTGCCTCCCAGGCTGTCCCTCACCCCCCAAGTTTGTTGGTTTTTTTTGGGGGGGAGGGCACACCTAATGACACTCAGGGCTTCCTCCTGGCTCTGTGCTCAGGAATCACTCCTGGTAGAGCTGGGGGACCCTGTGGGGTGCCAGGGATGCCAGACAAGCGCCCTCCCACTGTGCTACCGATCCGGCCCCTACCCCCCAGAACTGAAATCCAGGATTCCAGGAGGGGCTGGCGATTCACCAGGCCACAAACCCTGCAGCTCGGCGGGACTATTCTCCTCACCCCAGGCCCCCATGCCCCCCACTTTCCCGGGCACGCCGGCCTTCGGGGGCCACTCTGCAGGGACACTGGGGACCGAGTCCTTTGCAATCACTGATCCCTGTCTCTCTCGAGCCCTTGCTGCACTCCAGGCCACCGTGAAGAAACACACACCGCCCTTGCGCTTTCCTTTTCAGGCTGCACCTGACAGTGCTCAGGGCTTACTCCTGGTCTGCCTTCCGGGTGGGGCTCAAGGAACTGTACACGGTGCCATGGCTTGAACCTGGGTTGACTGGGGGCAAGGTCAGCACCCTCCCCGCTCCCCCTGACCTCTAGCCTAGGGCCTGGTTTGTAAATGCAGGTCTATGCGCTCATATGGAAGTGCTCACGTGGTGCTAGTTCTGGCTCTGAACACGTGGAACCCAACCACCTCTCTGACTCCCCCGGGCACCTCGGGCAACACGGGAGTGTTATAATCCCCACTCTGCAGATGAGGAAACTGAGGTTCAGAGAGGCCCACTGGCACAGCCAAGTGCAGGGACAGCTATGAAGCCAGAAGGCCATGGCTACATCCACGCGGCCGGCCCTGACTCCACGATGCCACGTGGCGCTGACTGTCCTTCTCCCAAAAGAGGCCGGGAGCATGCTGGGTGGTTTCTGTCCCCGTCCCAGGGCAAATTCCCTGCACCAGGTTGAGGATCTGTAAGATTCTCAAAGGCCCAGCTCCCCCTGCTCCAGGCCTGTTCTGCCAGGTGTTCTCAGGGCTCGACCCGGGGGTCCCATGTGCCCCGTCAAAAGCTCTGAGAAGGTTCGGGAGGGGGACGGGCCCCATCACCTGCTGCAGAGAAGATGTGAGTGCTCCGGGCTCAGCTTCATGCCTTGACAGGGAATGTCCCCAAAGTCACATCAGATGCCCGGGCTCTAGGGTCCAACCACATACCACCCCCACCAGCCACCACACACGCGGCCTGGCATCGGAGATCCCCTCCCAACTTCCCACAGCCCTGTCCAAACTCCCCCCCTGGAGGGAGGCCCTGGTCCCCCAGGCCATCCTCCATCCCAAGGCCCCGCCTCCAAGCCCCAACCCTCCCCAGATGCGGGTTGCTCTCTGCTCGTGCTCCCAGCATCTTAGCAACAGCCCCCGAACATCTCCGTTCCAAAGAACTAGGAAAGCCGGTACTTGAGGCCGGAGAGTCCAGTGGGCAGCGCGCCTGCCTTGCCTGAAACCTGGGTTCGCCACTGCACAGTCCCCCCAGGACAGAGCCAGGAGTAGTCCCCGCACATTGCTGGCTGTGACCCTAAAACCAACACCAAGAGAGTGTGTTGAGACTCTGCTTCCGGTTGCTCTTTGTCTGAGGGGGCAACAGCCTAGGAGTCGGACCTCCTCAGGCACGACACTGAGCTGACAAATGGGATGGGAGGGTCAAGAAAAGTGGGGACAATCTGTCTGTCGCACCCATGCCGCCTCCCTTCTGGGGTCCAAGTCCCCCTCTGCCGCCCCGCTTGGCACCTGGATCCAGGCTGCGAGAGGGAAGCAAGCCCAAGGCCACCCCAACCATCACTCAGGCCAGCGGTCACTAGCACGGTGGCAAAACGTCGGAAACTCTCAGAACTTCGGGGCATTTTGTTCAAAAGACAGGTGGGGGCCGGAGACGGCTCCGGAAGGGGTGACAGACAGGGCCTCTGTTCATCAGCTCCCCAGCTCCCATCACTGCCGCTCCCCAAAACCCCCAAGCACCGCCAGGTGTGCACCCCCGGGCAGGCGCTGAGTCCCAGGCTGACACCGGCCCCCCACCGCCGCGGGAAAGCACTGGGGGAACGGGGAAAGCCCTGGGCTGTTTCTGGCATCTTCTAGAGCGCCCAGGAACAGTTAAGAGAAAAGGGGCTTTACCAGCCCAGAACCATGGGAGCAGGGGAGCAATTGGGGAGCACCTGTGACCTGCTGGGGTTCCCGCCAGGGGGGGCAGGGTCGGGGGCGGGACAACAAGAGCCTCCGAGGTGCTTTTCCAGGAAACTCCTGCATATTTAGCGAGGAGGAGGCACCAGCTCTGCTCTGGTTTCTTTTTCCTTTTCTTTTTCTTTTTTTTTTTTTTTTTGGCTTTTTTGGGTCACACCCAGCAATGCTCAGGGGTTACTCCTGCTCTGCACTCAGGAATCACTCCTGTCGGTGCTGGGGGACCATATGGGATGCTGGGCATCGAACCCGGGTCAGCTCCATGCAATGCAAACACCCTCCCCGCTGTACTATCGCCCCAACCCCGGGGGGCAAAGGTTTTGATTGCGGGGACCATATCCCTCCCAAGAGCACCCACTGCAGTGGACAGTCGAGACAGCCACTCCTGCTCTTCAGGAAGCAGAATCTGGCAGCGAGCGGGTGAGGGTGTGTGTTTGGGGGTTGGGGGGTGCTCCTAAGGGAGGCAGGGTCCTGGGGAGGCAGGGCCCAGGGCAGGTGGTCAGCCTGTCACCCCTCATCCCTCTCAAGTGTCCATCTGTCAGGAGCAGAAGGTGCAGCTGCTGACACAGATTCCGCGGTGGAACTGGCCAGTCCCAGGACGTCCCGGGAACTAGTCAGCATTTCCCTCACTTCAGTTCCCAGGACGAGGAGGACCTCGGTCTCCCCAGGAAGGGGAATCCCTCCCTCTTCCCCTCTGAGGCACGTCGACGGGAACTTCCAGGATCCCCACCCCCTGGAGGGTGAGGGAGACACTGCGGCAGGGAAGATCCACAAGGAGTGGACACGTGAGGTGAGGCCCGAGTGGAGGTCCAGGTGAGCAGGGGCGTCTGAGCCTACGTGCACTGACACTATCCCCAGTCCAGCCAGGTGAAAACTAAGGGCGGGGGGTGAGGCTCAACTGGAGCTCAGGGTCCCATCCCTGCCCCGCAGGTGCCCATGCCCCCACTGCAGGGTGTCACCCCCACTATCCAGAATCAGAGCCTGAAAGCTCTGGCAGGTCCGGCAAGATGTCAGGGGATGTCAGGGGTGTGGCTGGGCCCACTAGACAGTTTCCACCCTCGGGTGGTGCTGGCCTCTGTCCCAGGGCAGGTTCTGGGAGACTAGGACAGCGCCTGGTACGCATGCGGGGACTCAGGCATGGGTCTGAGTGAGGGAGTGAGCGACCTAATGGGCAGAGGAGTGAACAAGTAAATGAGTAAATAAGTGAGTTGTGGGGCTTGAGCAACAGCACAGCGGGTAGGCGTTTGCCTTGCATGTGGCCGACCCAGGTTCAATCCCCAGCATCCCATTTGGTCCCCCAAGCACTGCACTGCACTGTTCTCCCGATGTTCATTGATTTGTTCGAGCGGGCCCAGTAACGTCTCCATTGTGAGACTTGTTGTTACTATGTTTGGCATATCGAATACATCACAGGTAGCGGGCGAGATACACTTGGTAGCTTGCCAGGCTCTCCCCGATGGGTGGAGGAATCGAACCTGGGTCAGACAGCTTGGCCACGTGCAAGGCAAACGCCCTACCCACTGTGCTATCGCTCCAGCCTCCCCCCCACCTCCCCGCCACAAAGCACTATCAGGAGTAATTCCTAAGTGCAGAGTCAGAAGTAACCCCTGAGCATCACTGGGTGTGGCCCAAAAAGAAAAAAAAAAGAATGGTGGCATGAGTGAATAAGCGAACAAGCGAATGAGTGAATGAGGGAGCGAGCAGCCAAGTGAAGGAGGGAATGAGGGAAGCGCGGGCGCGTGAGGCGCTTGGCCGGCCCATGTCTGTGTGAAGCCTAGTCCTAAGAAATGGTATTTCCTGCTCCAATTTTTTTGGGGGGGAGGTCACACCCGGCATTGCACAGGGGTTACTCCTGGCTCTGCACTCAGGAATCACTCCTGGCGGTGCTCAGGGGACCATATGGGATGCTGGGAATCGAACCCGGGTCGGCCGCGTGCAAGGCAAACGCCCTCCCCGCTGTGCTATAGCTCCAGCCCCTCCTGCTCCAATTTCTAAATGATGAGCTCACGTTCCTTCCACCTCAGGTTCTCACCGCTTCCCTCTGAGGTTTGCGCCTCCTACCTGGGGGCTGGGCGAATCATGCGGGCCGGGCCAGTGGGGAGGGAGGAACCCCGACTCAGGGACCTCCAGGCAGCCGTTCCACAGATGCCCCCAGTTTTGAGGCCCCCTCCCCCCCCACACCCACGGGTTTGGCCAGAGCATCTCACCAGCGAGCCTCAGGGCCCTGGAAGGACCAGCACACGACACCCATGTCCCGAGGTTTCAGGGAATCCAAGTTTTATTGACAGGCATGTCACAGGAACCCCCGCACCCCGCCCCAGATGACCCAACCCCGGGTCCAGCTCCCACTGAGCACGACTTGCCCTGTGGCACCCCTGCAGCGGGCACTGTCCTCAGGGTACCACAGGGGCTGGGCCTCTCTGACTACAGCGTGCCCAGCCGGGACCCCAGTCGGCCTGCATGGTGAATGGGGGTCAGCCTCACTCCCTCCTGGATCTCACGCGCAGGGTCACTGCCAGGGTAGACGGGGCGGTCAGTGGTGGGGAGGTGTGGGGCTGGAGGGGTGCCCCGGGTCAGGGCTGGGGGAACGGGGTCCTGAAGGGAGAGGTCCCGTGCTCTGTCCCCCACCCCGGGATACTGCAGCCCCCAGGGCCCCCCAGGTCATACCAAGGACGAGCTGGCGGCGGGCAGCCTTTGATGCTGCGCGTCAGGGGGGACGCAGGACCAGAGGTCTAGGCTCTTCGGGGTGCAGCTCTGCTCAGGCTTCTTGGGGAGGATGTCCCAGCCCAGGAGGCAGTGCTGCGGGGGGGGTGTGGGGAGGGGGGTGAGACGGAGCTGCACCAGGCACACCAGGGGACCAGGACAGAGCCAAGCTGGGGCGGGGGAGGGTCCCTCAGGCTGTGTGTGTGTGGGGTGAGGATCCCTCAGGCTGTGTGTGGGGGGTGTGAGGGTCCCTCAGGCTGTGTGTCCAGGGGGTTGGGGGCAGGGACGGTCCCCCAGGACCAGGCAGCCCGGCTGCAGCTGGCACGCTGGCTCACCCTAAGCCGGGGCGTAAGGGTGAGCTGGGTGCTGGGGCGGTGCCACACCCTGATGCTTCCTCCCTAGCCAGCACCCCAGCCTGCGCAGGGGACCCAGAGATATGCGACCCACGGGAAGGGAGGACTCACCCGGGGCAGCGCCAGTGTGTCGGAGGCATCAAAGCTTTTCCGCCGGTGGATGCGGGGCCGGTGCGGGGGGTCGAGGGCCGACATGGGGATGCTCACCCTGGGGACAGCAGGGGGTCACGCGGCTCCTCTTGCATCCCTTGGGCCACTGCCCTCCCCGCTCGCCCCCCGGCTGCCTCCCACCCCCAGGCCTGCCCACCCACCTGACCTGCACTGGCTTCACCTCCGTGCCGGGGTCCCCCTGGCCCCGTGGCTTCCGACACAGACGACAGGGGCTGTCGGGGTCCGATGGCACCAGGAACAGGCGCCGGTTGACTCGGTAGCAATAGATGCCTGCGAGGCCCGAGTGCAGCGGCTGGTCACACCCCAGGCCCCACACCGCCAGCTCTCGTGTGACACACGCCGTCTGCATCGCACACACACACTCCAGCACACACACGTGTGTGGCTGTGGCAGTCCTGCCCTTCACATGTGTGCCGGGACACACAGACACAGGAGCTTGTGTGACAGACACTGCACAGCACGCACAGATACAGGGGGCAGGCGCAGGAGGCACCGCAGGGCAGGACAGGGCTGGGGAGGGGCCAGCCCAACCCTCCCGGAGGCCAGCCCTGACCAGGCTCCCTCCCGCTGGGCCGGGGCTACTCTGGGAGAGGGACGGGGCAGCCGGGCTAGACACTCACACTCGTGGTCCCCCTCGATGTTACCGGGTGCCGGCACACCTGCAAACGGGGACCTGAGAGGGCAAGAGGGTGAGAGGGCGAGCAAGAGGCCTGGGGCCACCTTGGCCACCCACTCAATGCTCACTCGTGCAAGTGGCCAAAGCAGTCCTCCTGGTTCGCCTCCCGGAACTCCTGCAGCTTTGAGAAGAAGATTTCCGGTTTGCTGCTGACTGGGGACCTGATGTCCAGTGACCCTGGGGAGGGCAGAGCACTTGTGGCCACTGGCTGAGGCAGTGATTCCAGCCGGCCAGGAGGCCGCTCTAAGCCCCAGGATGCCTGGTTCTGTCTCTCAGCTTCTGTCCACCTGGACACACAGCCCCATGCACGCGAAAGCTACCCACGGCCCAACCATGGCGCTATTCATGTTTGGGGAGTTTGGGGGGGGGGGGAGAAATCTCTCCCGCCCCAGGGTTCTAGAGCAATAACTTGACCCAGGAGCACAGACCTGATGTGTATGACAACCCAACAGTGCCGGTGGCCTCTAGGACTGTGACAGACAGTGTCTGGGGTCACCCAGAGCAAAGTGTGTCTGCCAGCCCTCGGTGCCATGGCCTGGGAAGCCAAGTGGAAATTGGGTGCCCGGAGCTAAAAACTAGGACGCTTAGCGGCAGGCACAAGGAGGCGGGGCATGGCGGGTGGGAACACCGGGGGTGGCCAGCACAGTGTCTGGCCCCGCGGCAAAGGGAAGAACCAGTTCCAGGGAGGGGGACTGGCCACCATGCCCCGTGCTGTCCCATACCGCCAGGCCCAAGGAGGCGCAAACAAAGAGGAAGCAGGAGGTGGCCAAGCCCAGGCCAGTGTCCAGCCGCGACAAGGACAGCGTCGGGCCGTCGGATTTAGAATTGGTGGGAGAGACGCTGGCCGCTTTCTCCAGGGGCTGCCTCTGTCACCTGTCAGTGGGCCAGGAACCCACCCACCGACCCAATACGAAAACCGCGAAGGGGAAGGAGTGGGCAGGGGGTGAGGAGAGACGCGCTCTCAGCTCAGGGCTGGCAGATGAGCTGCGTTCCCGACGCACCGGGAATGTTCCCGAATGCTGAGGGACTTGCTGCAAGAAATGTGGCGAGCATCAAGCCCACGCAGGGCACAGCAGGAAAGGATGGTGTGTATCAAGGAAGGCAACGCAAGAGCATGAGGCAGAGGGGACAGGGGCAGATGAGGAAAATAAATATCCCAGGAAAGGCTGAAAGAACAAAGAATGTGGGACCGGAGTGATAGCACAGCAGGGAGGGCGTTTGCCTTGCACGCAGCTGACCCAGGTTCGATCCCCGGCATCCCATATGGTCCCCTAGCACCACCAGGAGTAATTCCTGAGTACAGAGCCAGAAGTAACCCCTGAGCATCACTCGGTATGACCCAAAATGAAAAAAGAAAAAAAAAAAAGAAAGAACTGTCCCTAGGAAAGGGACATCGGGGCAGCTGGAACGCAGGGTACAAACGCGTGTCCCCGGGAAGGCAGGTGGGGAACACTGCCCACCTGGGAGAGACAGACCCAGGGAGGGACAAAGGCCCATTCTGAGTTTCATCATTTTTGTTATCATTGGTGTTAGGGGGCATACCCTGTGGTGCCCAGAGCTTATTCCTGGCCATCCACTCGGGAATCATTCCTAGCTGTGCTCGGGGAGCCGAATGCCAGGGATCAAACCTGGGTCAGGCAGCCTGCTGTCCTCGCTCTCTGGGCCCTGAGCTCCACCTCTGACTACGAAACCGGCAGATCGTGAGGTTCTGTCCACTCCCTGGCTACAGTTAGTTGGTTCTTGGGGGAGGAACATTAACTCCTACAATCACTCAGGTCTCCCAAGTGCAGAAATCTGTGCTTGGAGAACAAGACCCTCCTTCTCGCCCCTCAGCTGCTCCTGGTGGCCTGCGGGCGCACGGACAGAGAGAAGCGGGCCTGGGGGGGAGCCCCCTCGCCCCATGTGGGAACCCCGAGTGGAGGAGGCAGACAGCCCAGACAGGTGCACACAACTGTCCCCAGGAAGGGGACACTGGGGCTCCTGCGTCTGTGACATTCCACATTCCCAGGGACAGGAAGTGGGGCAGTGAGCTGCCAGCCTGGGAAGCCCCTCTAGACAGGCCGAGTCCCCCTGCCTGGGTGCCCGCCATTCCAGCCACTGCGCAGAACCTCAGCCACCCTGTTTCCTCTCTGTGCCGTGCTAGGACCACCCAAACAGCGGCCAGCTCTAGGGCCACTCACCGAGTGGCAGGCACCATTGCATCCAGCCTCAGGGACCACAAAAGACAACCAGAGCACTGGCTCAAACGAGCACGTGTACAGACGGAGGAAGAAACGCGAAAAGGAGCCCGTTCCTGAGGAAGGCACGTGAGAATGCCAAGTGCCAAATGGGGTGCCCTGGGCGGGGGAGGCGGCAGCACCCCCACGCCAGGCCGGCAAAAGGACCATCCCACGCACCAAACCCCGAACAGTGAGCCAGAAACACGCCGGCTTCAGGCAGCGTCCTGGATGTGGGGTGCCAGGGCCACCTCCTGGGGATGAGCTGGCGGGAAGGCCTGTCCTCGGCCAGCAGAGACCTGGGAAACTGGACATTCGGCCCCCAGACCTTCACCCAGCAGAGGCCCTGGAGCCCCTCCCATGCCGGGGGGGGGGGGCGGAAGCAGCTCACAGAGAAGGGTTAAGAGCCAGAGAAACTGCAGGTGTGCAGGCCCCCGGGGTCTCCCCACAAACCCCAAGACCCCCGGAACAGCACCCAGGCGAGGCCACACCTGCAATCCAGTCATAGCCCAGGTACGGTCGCAGGCGCCAGCTACTCTCTGGGACTGGGGGTCCCGTGTGGTCGGTCACGCCCTGAGGAGGAGGAGACAGAAGGTCAGTGGCTGGGCCAACAGGCTGGTCCTTAGAAAACCCAAGCAGAGCAGGGATGTCCTGTCCCGGGGCTCAGAGGCTGCACTCTGTTAGTGACATTGACCACTCTGGCCTCAGCCTTCCCATCTGTGTAATGGGCTCAACATCTTTTCCCCCAAAGGGCTCTCTGGGAAAGGAAAGACTAGCCACCACGTGTCAAGCTGAGAAACCACGGGTCAACTCACGTTCCTCCCCAAGAGCCTCAGCCAACAGGGCCGGCTGCCCAGTAGGCAATTGTGAGAGAGAAATGGAGGCCCTAGGAGGTGCCCAGTGCTGGGTGTGTGCCCCCCTACCTGGAGAGGGTGGCTCTGGTGAGCCCGAGCATCCAGGAACCCCAAATCCTCGGACTCAGAGGACTCTGGTGCTTTTGAGTCTGCGGCGGACACCGAGGGGGTGGAGTGGAGTGTCCCGGGACACGGGGACTCCTGGCATGGGTGCTCAGCAGGTGGAAGAGGACTCGTCTCAGGGCTGGCGCTGCCAGGCCTGGATCTCTGACTGGCATCGCCCGGGTGGGCTTCCTCTGGAGAGGAGGGGACCAGCGACACTGAGGAAACCTCTCGGGACGAAGGCGCCTCTGAGGTGCAGCCGCTGCTGCTGTCCACGCTTGGCTGGGACAGAGAAGTCCAGTCACAGGGTGTGGCCCAGCTGGGAGACACTCACCCCACCAGCTGCCACCAGCCATGAAGGATCTCTTGCCCCAGGTCAGCCCCCTCCGAGGAAGGGAGAAGAGGCGACTCCAGCCCCCTCCTCCCTCCAGCACCCGGGTGCTCCCGGATGGGCACCCACCCCCGTGGCGGCCTGCGCCTTCGCCACCAAGCGCCGCACGGTCTCCTGCCCAGCCGTCAGCTTTTTCAGAAGCGCCAGGTTGAGTTCCCGCAGCCGGAGCACCTCGGCCTCCGCCATCCAAGCTCCACGTCGGCCACCAGGCCATTCGCTTCCTCCTAAAGGCAAGAAGTAGACTCAGGAGGCCGCGCTCTGGATCCAGACGCCGGGGCGAGGAGCTGAACTGCCCAGTGCCTCAGTTTCCCCACCTGCCACACAGATGATCCCAGTACTGACCTCCTAACATGGCTGTTTCAGGATTGCCGTGCATGTTATGTCTCATGCATGTCTCGCGTCAGCATGGATGAGCATGCAATACATTCCCATCATCTGTTTCTATTCTTTTGGGGCCACAGCTGGCAGTGCTCACGACACCGCAGGTAGTGCAGGGGATGGAGCCAGGGTGGGTCACATGCAAGCCAAGCACCTTAACCCCTAAACTATCTTTCCAGCCCTGCATTTCTGATCTTACTGAACTCCGCTTTTTATTTATTTATTTATTTATTTGGTTCTGGGCCACACCCAGAGATGCTTGGGAGTTACTCCTGGCTCTGTACTCAGGAATTACTCCCGGAGGTGCTCGGAGGACCATACAGGATGCCAGGGACTGAGCCCGGGTGGGCCAAGTGCAAGGCAGGCGCCCTCCTCACTCCAACCACCACTGAACCCTCCTTCTAACAAGCTAAAAGAACAAAACCCCCTACGCCAACGCCAACTACAGACTGAGACTCGTTTAACACCTAGGAAAACAACTCCGGAGCCCACGAAAGTAAAGGATGACAACCTAGGAGTTCGACACACCAGGTGTCTGGAGCTACTCATCCCTCGCTCCTGTCTTCCGTTCCTTCTTGCCTTTCCCTTCACCAATGCAGAAACCAAAGTCGAGAGAAAGTGAGCGACTGGCACCCCAGTCAATACGAGAAGTTGCCACGCCAGAATTCTGGAACCCAGACCTGGTCCCCCAGTTCAGAGAAGAGGAAGACGGTAGCTTTTCTGGCGCCCACCCCCAGGAGGCTCTTCAGAATGGATTTCTGCAGGCGAGGAGAGGGGGCCACAGGTCTAGTGCCAGCTCCCTGATCTGATGGGGGGTGGGGGGGTGGGGGCAGAGTGTGATCTGCAGTCCTTGGTCCCTGATCTGATGGGGGGTGGGCAAAAAGCCTGATCCCAAGTCCCAGGTTTCAATCTGATAGGGAACAGAGCCTGACGCAGAAACCCAGTCCCTGATCTAATCAAGAGTCCCACCCATAGTCCCAGCTCCGGATCTGATGGGGACAGAGTCTGAGCCGCACTCCCAGCTCCCCGATCTGATCGAAGAGCCTGAGCCGCAGTCCCAGCTTCCGATCTGACGGAGGGAAAGAGAGCCTGAGCGCTGTTCCAGCGTCCCCGATCTGATCACAGAGCCTGAGCGCGGTCCCAGCTCCCTATCTGATGGGGGGCAAAGTGCCTGACTCACAGTCCCAGCCCCCTGATCTGATCACACAGCCTGACCCGCGGTCCCTGCTCCCCATCGGACCGAGCGGCGCGGGCACGAACGTGCCCAGGGTCCCGGGGGGCTAGGACCGGGCTCCGGGTGGGAGAAGGCACCGCCTGCCTTCCAGGATTGCACAGTGCCAATGCGGCCCCCGGAAAGCTCAGCGCCGCGCAAACACGCCGGGCAGAGGCACCAGGGCCGCAGGGGCGGGGCGGGCGCCGGAGAAAGGGAGAGTCGGCCCCCCGAAACCTCGGGGGGTGCACGTGGGCCCCCCCCACCCCCGAGCGCTTCCTCCGCCTCCGGCCGGGCGCCCGCACTCACCGCACTCAGGCCGGGAACCCGGCGGCCGGCCGCTGCCTCCGGGTCAGTTCCGCCCGGCGCGGCGCCGGTGGGTGGGCGGGGCCCGATCCGGCCTCTCTGATTGGCTGGACGCGGCTCAGGCCGCCCCGGCGAGCGTTACTCCACGTTCCGAAACCACTTTTTTAACATCGGGGCGGGGCGAAGAGCAGGAGTCAGCGTCTTATTGGTCAACGCGCCCTGCCGGTCATTCTTCTTCATGGGCGGGGCCTCCGGATGGTGCGCTCCAATTGGCCAGTTCCCGGTCGCGGGTTAAGTCGCGTTCACCCGCGGTAGTTTCGGAGTCTTCTCCCTGAAACCCTCCACTGTCAATTACAAGGGCCCGGGCTGGGGCGGTGCTACGTTCATTCCTGCTTTTATCGCACCTACTTTGTCTTTTGTTTTGTTTTTGGCCCACACCCAGCAATGCTCAGGGGTTACTCCTGGCTCTGTATTCAGGGGACCATCTGGGGTACCAGGGATCGAACCCCTGTAGGCCGCGTGCAAAGCAAATGTGTTACCCGCTGTAACACATTTTTTTATTTTTTTGCTGTATTACCTCTCTAGCCCCTATCCTGCCTACTTTGTGTTAGATAGAAGTCAGAGAAGAGTTAAGAGGTAGGGGCCAGAGCGATAGGACAGCCTTTAAAGCGCTTGCCTTGCATGCTGCCGCCTCGGGCTCTATCCAAACCACCTCAAATTATGGTCCCCAGGACTTGCCAGTGTTATGTCCCTGGAAGGGAGTTTCGCTGGCACATTGACCAGACCAGACACGAGGATGCAAATGCAAGGCCCCTTTCTTGCTAGCTTGAGCTAGGGCCCAAGTCTCATCCAACACAGTGGAATCTTAACAAGGACCTTCTGAGCAGCTTATATAATAGGGCTTAGTTACATAACAGCATTTTTTCTAGGAACTGGTAATGTTTCCAGTTCTGGTCCCTGTCCGGTCCTGTGACTCCAGGGACCAATACTACGTTTCCAATTCTTGGTCCCTGTCCGGTCCTGTGACTCCACTCCCTCGGCCCTCTCTGCTTGGCTGGGCGCCACTGCCCATTTCCCCTCTTCTGATAGGCTGTTGCCATGGGACGGTTTATCTGCCCAGGGTAATACTGTTTTCTGAGAAGTCGGGACTTTCTGATAGGGGAAACTGAAATTTAGGCCTGCTGATTTTCGGTCTTAAAGTGGAGCCTGTCGCGGCCGGAGCGATAGCACAGCGGGTAGGGCGTTTGCTTTGCATGCGGCCGACCTGGGTTCGATCCCCGGCATCCCAGATGGTTCCCCAAGCACCGCCAGGAGTAATTCCTGAGTGCAGAGCCAGGAGTAACCCCTGAGCATCTCTGGGAATGACCCCCCCAAAAAAAAGTGGAGCCTGTCATGGCCACACTTCAGCCTCACACCAGAAGAGACCCCCAAACCCAAAGCCAGGAGTAAGCCTGAAACAAGGCTGGGTGTGGCAAGAAAAATGTTTTTTAAAATATCTATGCATGAAAATCTCTACCGTTCTTTGTACAATAAAGTTCCATGAGTTTTGACAAATGCATATTGTTACACTCAGTGTACATATAGAATAGCTTAAACACCCTATGTTCTGTTCACCTTCATCACACTTCCTCTCCCCTTCCAACTTCCTGTTTCCTTTTTTTAGCTGATTCTCCAGTTCTGCCTTTTCCACAGTACCAGTTAATTAGATCATCTGATGAATAATCTTTTCCAATAACCTACCTGAACTTAGAAACACGATCTAGGGTGGAGATAGCAGTGGGTTAGGCATGTGCCTCGCACAAAGCCCAACCCTGGTTTGATCCCAGCAGCACATATGGTCGGTCCCCCAAGCATCACCAGAAGTGACCCCTGAGCACAGTGTCAGAAGCAGCTTCTGAGCACTGGGTGTGGCCCCAAACCTTCAACCCTTCCCCCTCCACACACAGGCACACACAAACTCAGAAGAAAGTGTGCACCTAATTTCCATCTGTGTCAGTTCAGGATTTGATGGTTCAGTTCCTTTCGTCTGAATGAGATTCCACTGAGCGTGTGGATATGCTGCCTTTTCGTTATGCATCTACCGACCAAAGGTCATCGCGATTGTTTTCAGTCTTCAGTGATTATGAATAACCAAATGTATTGTTCCTGTGGGTACTCAGCGTTAAGAACAAATAAACCAGAGTGGAAGATATCAACTGATCACAGTAGCTTATGTCCCTTCCCAGGACCAATCTTTGCAGCCTGGAAGTAAGCAGAACCTCTGGGGTTTACTGGCATCATAATCAGGGTCCCGCTGGAGACCAATGCCAGGGCTGGGGAGAGCAGGCAGGTTAGTGGGTTAACCAGCCGGGCCTGGGCCCGAGCAGGACTGATGGTGGAAAAGTGACCTGTACCTTGGTCCAAGCGAGGCTGTGATGGCAGAAGTGATCAGTAGGTGCTCTAGATTTATTTTTTGCTGCAGGGCATCCCAAACAATGCTCAGGGGATCTGGGAGCCGCCCCCGGCCGCCCCAACCCCCAACCCCCCCACTTCGTGACAGCCAGCAAGCAGGGCCAGGCAGGCAGTGCTCTGACCAGAGATGCAACTGCAGGGCTACAGAGGAGGTGCTGAGAGGGCACAGGATGCCCAAAGAGATCCATAGGCATGCAATGCAGTGCTTTTTTTTTCCCCCGCTTTTTGGGTCATACCCAGCAATGCTCAGGAATTACTCCTGGAGGTGCTGGGGGACCATATGGGATGCCGGGGATCAAACCTGGGTCGGCCGCATGCAAGGCAAACGCCCTACCCACTGTACTATTGCTCCGGCCCCATGCCTTAAGCTTTTGAGCTACTTCCCAGCCCTGTTTTTTGTGAGGAGGGGGCTAGGGCCACACCCAGCAGTGCTCAGTTTACTCCTAGCTCTGTGCTCGCACTCCTGACAAACTCAGGAGACCACACCCAGGTCAGTCATGTGCAAGGCAAGCGTCTTACCCGCGGTACTATCGCCTGGGCCTTCATCTATTTTTAAACAGAGGTCACACCGGGCAGCCCTGGGGCCCAGCGCAGGTCCAGAGCCAATCCCAAGAGACTGGCCAGCAAAGCTGGTGAGATCCCAATGATGGAGACCAGGATGATGCCCAAGTCTGTGGCCTGGGAATCTGAAGGGCCAGACTGCCAACAGCTGAATATGGGGTGGGGGCCCCTAAAACAGGGCGATGCTGGCAGGCGATGCCTGAGTCCAGAGACAGGTGTGGGGCGGACGCAGAAAAACGGACTATTCTTGACCACAACCACTGCCGAGGGCCCTCGAACAAGAGAAAAGGTCACGAGCAAGTTCTCAGAAAGCAAATGGGGCTGGACTGGTCTGAGTCATTCCTCCTTAAGAGAGAAACGAACGGTTTCGTGATTCAGAGAAATCTGTCGAGATATCACTCTAGGCTTCCTGGCTGTGAAAGCCCAGTGGCCTGTCTGTTCTCAGAGAATCAGATTCCCTCCCAGAGGGAGGAGCTGCCGGCGGGCAGGCGGGTGGGCAATGCTGGGACCGTGCTGAACACAGTCCTGGGCCTTTCAAACCACTGCTGCAGGCATGAGGGCTCGCGTTTGACAGGGAGAGGAAACTGAGGCAGTGTCCAGCCCAGGTTTCCAACTAGGGTTTATTTGAGTTTCCGATATTACCAGCAATGATACAGGGGGTAATTCAGGCGAAGATATCACCTTAAATACATCGGAGAAAAATCCTGCCCAGTCTAGCACGTCTTCCCGCTCCAGCAAACCAGCATCAATGAGCACAAGGCTGAGAGCAGCATGAAATTAAAGTGCTTTTCGCCACGCTTCTTACAGTCTCTCAGCGGTATAAATTTCACTGAACATAAGAAGCTCAAAATCATATTTCATGCCAGGGGCTACCTTAAAAAATTCATGTATGGTCTTTCAAAATTTTTTTTTCCAAAAAAGTAAAGTTCTTGGAGTTGTGGGACACCCACTTCTCCCCGCATGCTGAGCGTGGCCCCAGCAAAACGCTTTCCACCGTTTACTTGGCGTGGGGGACCGCGGGATCCTGGGGTGCTCGCTGTGTGGTCGCTGCCAGCGCCAGAGTCAAGGCCATGTCTCTGCTGTTTGTTCTGGACGTCCTTTGGTCGGGGCGGAGAGGGTTCCGTCACCTGATGGTGAGGTCACTTGGCCCTGAGTTCTGACACCTCGGACACAGGGACCCAAACCCACCTAGGCTGGTCGCAACCCCCCGCACCAGACAACAGGAAACGGTTCTCGGTAAATCAGGTGGCGTGCGTCAGCAGTGGCTCCTGGGGCCAGGGAGGCGGGAGGGCTGTAGTTGTCACTGGCCTTAGCATCACTAAGTGCAGGGGGCGGTGGCCAGGACGGAGAAAGAGCACAGGGATGAACAGGGATGCCAACAAGCCAGTGGGGTGGGGCCCACGGCCCACGGCCTCGGCTGTACAGGCCGTGGCTCACCTTCCACCACCCTCCCTTCTACCACGTCCTTTCACCATCTGGACCAAAGCACCTTTCACCAAAACCCAACCCGGACAACACAGGCCAGGGGCTGAGAGCAGAACGAGGGCCACAGGAAAGGAGGGGACGGCCCTTCTCTCGCGGACACCACCTGCCTGGGGACCCTCCACAAACCACAGTCCTCGGTTTCTCCGAATCCAGCTTCCCGCACCCTCGGACCACAGCAGGCTGGGCCCCACCATCAATGTGTCTGATGGGCTGTCTGGGGACAAAGCAGCAAAGCTGAAGGACAAGTGACATGAGCCACAAGTACTGGGCCTAGTTCTGCTGCCAGGGGAGAAGCAGCCGGCACCCCCTCAGGTGACCAGGGCCAGTGTGTGCATGTGTGTGTGTGTGTGTGTGTGTGCTTGAGTGTATGAGTGTGTGTATACATGAGCGTGTGTTGAGTGTATAATGTGGTGGGGAATGGGGTGTTTGTCGAGGGGCTCCTGCAATACGGCAAAGTCCCCGGACCTTATCAAGCATCAAATGCTCCCCCATCGGGGGACCCTGACAAAGCCAAGGCCCCGGGGTCCACACTGTCCACGGATCATCGTTTAAAAGTCGCCTTTGGGGGAATGAGCCAGAGGGTTTCCCGCAACAGCAGGCGAAAGAGGGAGAACTAGCATCTAGGGGCTCGAAACGGTGGAGGCGGGGACGGGGTTGCCTCTGGCGCGGCCCGCGGCCACTATCTGCTGGGCTGCAGGTACTGGTGTGTGAACATGTTGAGCTCGCTGTCCAGCCAGCCGGCTTTGTTCCTGCGAAGAAAGGGCAGCTTGGTCATGGGCACGGGGCCGCCAGGCCTGCAGTTCTCACTGCCAAGTGCTCCTCTGAGGGCGCTGGCTGGCCCTGCCTCCAACACAGCAAAGAGGAAGTGGGGTCCAGAGAGGACCGGTGACTCCCGCTGGTCGTGGAATGGGCTGCGGGTGCAGCTGACAGGGACGCTTTTCTTACCGTCAGCCCGAATGGCATCACGCTAAATCACAGTGCGGCCCCTGATGTGCTGGGAACTGTTTCCTTATCTGTCTGGAAAGTGGGGTGCTGGCCAGGGCCCTTCCCAGGGTCAGCCGTGTCTCCGTGGCTGGCAAGCAGCAGACCCTCCACTCCCACCTACATACCCTGAGACTTGCCAGGGCCTGTGCACAGCTGTCCCCAGAGATGCCTTCCCAGGACACCCTCCCCGGTCAGAAGCAGAGAGCCCAGGGACCACACAGGCCACGCGGACGCGGCCCCAGCCCAGCGTCGCACACCCAGCCTCCGACCCCGCTTCCCAGGGCACACACGTCGGGCCGGGGCCTAGGCTCAAGAGAGGCGCGTCAAGAGTACAGTGGGCTGTCAGCACACAAGGACAAGTGATGTCGGTCAGAAGTCCCAAACACCTCGATTCTCGCCAGACCCACCTACAAGTGCCCCACAGACCTTGGCGGCAGTCACCCATGTCTCCGGGACCCAATCCCCAAGGCCCATGAGATTGGGGGTCCCCAGGGACCTCCGCCCCTCCACCGAGGCCAGGCTCACCTGAGCAGTTTGGCTTTGCTCTGAAGTGAATTAAGAACCTCGATTTTCTTGTTCATGGCGGCGATCTCCTCCTCCAGATTCTCCCGGGTGACGTCAACTTGCTGGCAGAGATGAGCAAAGGTTCCGGAGAGTTCCCTAAGGGGCAGAGAGCCGGGATTGATGGGGGCTGGTGGCGGCTCCGGCTCCTTCCATCAATCCCACCCAGGGTCAGGCAGCAACTGGCCCTTGTGTCCTCTGCAGACTGTGGTTCGGCTAAGTCCCGCTGCCCCTGCTGGGTCAGAGACCTCAGCACAGGCTCAGCTACTACCAGGCAAGAGCAACTGGCCCTGTGTCCGCACCCTGCAAGGACTAGATGAGGAAAAGGGAAACCAGAGCCGAAATCAGGACCCCCAAATGCAGCCATCCCTTCCCACTGACCTCAGATGTGCCAGCAAGAGCGGGCAAAACAGTCATTCCACTGCACACCCAGCCTGGCAGGGTGGCCTTGAAAACACAGGTTTTGAATCCAAGACGCCGGGAATTCAAGTCCCAGCACTGCCAGGAGGAACCCAAGGCACACCCAACTGTGACCCCAAAACTAAGCATTTTCCCCTCCTTGGTGTTGGGCCACACCCTGAGGTGCTCAGAAATCACTGTCGGAGGAACTCAGGGGACCAAAAGTGCCGGGAATCGAACCCGGGTCAGCCATGTGCAAGATAAGCACCTTCTCTGCCATACTAACTCTCCAGCTTCCAAAAATAATTCTAATTGAGACAATTTTTTAGTAATTATGTAAGCAATGGCCCCATCTCCCATCTCTTCTTCCCTTGAGCCCAGCGGCCTGCAAGGTCACATGTGGCTCAGGACAGCCCCGTCTCCCCGTGCCAGCGCAGGGCCGGCAGGCGCCAGTATGCTGGGGACCCAGCCGTTTCCGGGCCGGGGACACTCACTGCTGCACTTGGTGGCTGCAGTTGGAGCCCGTGTAGCTGATGATGAGCTGCAGCTTCTCGCTGGCGTACTCCACAAACTGGCGCTTGAAAGCCCGCTCCTTGGCCTTGGTGGTCCAGGTGAGGCGCTCGTACACGTACAGGAGGCCGTAGAGGCCAAAGGAGAGGGCGATGAGGCGCCAGCCCACGGCCTTCCACACCTGGAGGGGGCTCAGGCTCAGCCGCCGGCCGCCCAGCCCTCCCCACCCTCCCGGGGGCCCCTCCCACGCGGGCCCGCCACTGACCACTCCGCCGACCACGAGAATGCCCATGGAGGTCCGCGACGTCAGGGAGGCCAGGCCTGTGACCATGGACACCATGAGCTCCTCCTGGGTGAGCGAGCCCTGCGGCAGCGGGGGCATGCTGGGGTTGGCGGGCGTCAGGGGCAGGGGCCGCGGCACCTGCGGAGACAACGGGGTGAGGAGGTGCCTGCCGCAGGGTTCAGGGCTGAAGATGGCTGCTCAGCCCGGAGGGCAAATTCCGGAACCCAGGTCTGCACGTGGCCATGGATGGAGCTTCCACGCACCTGCCAGCCAAGGTGGGCGCCGGGGCAAGCACAAGCAGTGGTCTCCGGGGGGCTGTGCCCAGACAGTGACAGGCCCGGGGACGGGGAGCCCAGACAGTGACAGGCCCGGGGATGGGGAGCCCAGACAGTGACAGGCCCAGGGTAGTGAGCCCAGGAGTGCACGGGCCCAGGGCAGGGTTCCGGGGCAGGTCCTCCACGGCCAGAGCTGCCGTTTCTACCGTAGGCCGGGGAACGGCTGCGGCAGGGCTGCTTCTGCTCCGAGGTGCCCTCGCTGCTGCCACAGCACCCAACTCTCCCCCATTGCCCCCAATCACACTGAATATGACACTGCACACGGGCTGAGAACAGTTTCTTGGAGCCAGCAGGTGCCAGGGTCCCTCTGCTCCCCCAGCGTCCCTCCTCCCCCACCCCAGCACCCGCAGGCGACAGCAGAGCTTTATTATTCCTGGCTGGGGCCCACACGCTGTGCTCAGGGCTACCCCCTGGCTCTGCGCTCAGGGGTCCCTCCTGGCGGGGCTCAGGGGACTGTCACGTGGCGTCAAGGACTGGGTTCAGCTCAGGTGCACGCAAGGCTTGTGTGCTGCACTTACAGTCTCTGACCCTCGACCTTAACCGCAACTCGTGACGTGTGCTCAGGCAACTCCTATGTCACCCACATTTGTAACATTTGCTGTGGGACCACATCTCACAGTGCTCAGAGAGTCCGGCGTTTTCACTGCTTTCTAGCCCTGGGTTTTGGGGGACATTCCCTGCTGTGCTCGGGAGCCAGGGGTCCTTCCAGTCAGAAGTGACCCAGGGCAAACAGCCTGGCAGTGCTCAGGGGCTCATGCAGGGTGGGGTTCAAAGTCGGCGTGTGTCTCCACCCCTCCTGGCTGTGTTCTAGCCCTCGCTAAATCGCCCAAGTCTAACAGCCAATACAGAATGTGCATCACACAAAGCTTTGTGGCATGGACCCTCACCATGTCTATGTCATAACCCTCGGCGCCAGGGCTCCTGGCTCTAGCAGAGGTGCGGGGTGTGGGGGGGGGCCTCCTGGCTCTAGCAGCGGTGTAGTCTGCATGGGGCCCCGACTGACCTGGTCGTTATAGCCCATCAGGGCTCGGCGGCTGTTCTTGGGACCCAGGAACCGATTCACCAACATGGTCCACCCGAGAGAAAAGTGGAACTCGATGTCCTCCTGGAAATCCGCACACAGCTTGTCACAGTTGAGGTCGTAGCTGAGGGAGAAGCACTGCCGGGGGACCAGCATGTCCAGCTGACTGCGCACGGACGCCGGCAGCAGGGGCTTCAGGCCATCTGTCAGGGGAGGGGGGTGAGAGTGTGCATCAAGACAGGCTGGCGAGCGCTGTGTGCGTGCACATGTGTGCAAGTGTGCAAGTGTCCATGTGCCGGGAGCTACACCTGGGGACTCAGACATGGAACTGTGTGTGTGTGTGTGTGTGTGTGTGTGTGTGTGTGTGTGTGTGTGTGTGTGAACCGAGGGACCCAGTATGTGCCTACGAGCCCCACTCTGTGGTTTCAGGGGACCCTCTCAGCCTGTCAGTCTCCATGGTAACACAGGACTCCCTGATGAGCTCACACACATGCTCCAAAAGAGGGGACTGAGGTGACACAGATAGGAGGCCGCTGAGCCCTGATGGGCTATAACGACCAGGTCAGTCGGGGCCCCATGCACACTGCACCCCTTGGGAGGCTGGATTCTGGCCTCCCAAGCCCATCTCTGCCCTTTTGGTTTCAGGGGTGAGGTGAGGGAGTTGGGTCGCACCCAGTGGCCCTGGGGATCACATGATGCCGGGATGGACCCACGGCCCCTGCAGCCTGCGCGCGGCACTGACCGATCATGTCCTGCTGCATGGCCTGCAGCGAGCCGGCGATGGCCGTGGAGCAGCGGTCAGACATGTTGCGGCCCAGCCCCTCCTCGATGTGGCGGTGCAGCTCCTGCGGCAGAAACAGGCCCGCTGCGAGCCTCTCCCGGGCGCTGGAAGTCCCACAATGGCCGCCCCCCCGAGGGCGCTGAGCCGCTGCCCAGCACCTGCCGCCTGACTCACGTTCTTGTAGACCTTGAGCACCACCGGGGAGGGGTGGAAGTCCATCTGGTAGTCGTCCACCAGCACCGAGAGGCGTCTTATCTCCTCGGCCATAGCTGTGGACACCTGCGCGGGAGGAAGTGGGCGTGGATTCCGGGCAAACGGGCACCACGCTGCCCCCCAGAGGGGCGAGGGGACTGTTCCAGGCCGTCTGCCCTCAGCTGTGCAGGGGGCCGGCTGGTCTTGGGGACGGCTGGTGGAGGGGACCCGCGGTTCTCAGGGACTGGCTGCTGCAGGGACCGTGGGCAGCATGCCCGGGGAACTCTGGGAGGCCGAGCCAGGCCCACAGCCTCCTGCTGGAGGGCAGAGAAGCCCCTCGGAGGGCAGGGAAGCCCCTCACCTGCCGCTCCACCTCCTCGGTCATCTGCTTGATGCGCACTTTGTAGTCCTGCGCCAGGAGCTCCAGCTGCTTGTCGATGAAGCGCAGCCGCTCCTGCCGCTCCTCGCGCAGCTCCAGGCAGTACACCCTGCGGGACCCGGCGCTCAGCGGGGCACCCGGACCCCCGCCCTCGGGGAGCCCACCCGAGACCCTGGCCATTCTCTGGGGAGCCCAACCCGAGCAGAGCCGCTGAGTGCACGACCTGACCCCGGGCAGCCACCCCGCAGAGAGCCACCGCTGCATGCAGCTGTGACCCTAGTGGGGGCGCGAGGGATGTGACGAGGGGGGAAGGTACCATCAGGTGTTCGCTAACGGTCCTGCCTGCCAACGGGGGAAGTGCTCGACCTCACTGTCTCCTGGTCAAAAAGACACGGGCCTAGAGGGTGGCCCAGCCCAGGGTTCAACCCCCGCACCAAACATGCAAGAAGAGCGGCCCCTCTCCCCAGAGCCTGATCCACGTCACCAACGATTAGGTGCTGACCCCCGGTGTGGGGGCAGAGCGAAGCTCACACCTGCACCTCTGGTGGGACTACGAATGGGTACAGAATGCCACAGGTGAGACCAGCAAGGCACCTGCCCTGCGTGGACAGGCCCACGTGCAGATCTCGCGAGGGTCCGCGTGCAGAGGTCTGGGGGACCAAAATGGCATGCACAGCAAAGGGTTCTGGTCATGCTCAGGACCAAGGAGAGAGTCCAAGGGCTGGAGCCCAGGGTCCGACTCCCTGTTCACACAGTCCCCCAGCACTGCCAATAGTAATCCTAGAACCACTGGATAGCCCCTAAATTTAAAAAAAAAAAAAAAAAAAAAAGGACCGAAGCTCTAGTACAGCAGGAAGGTGCTGGCCTTGGGTGAGCAAGCCAGGCCCAATCTCCAGCCAGGACTGATCCAAGAGACAGGAGGAAGGTCCAAGCACCAAAACTGTCCTATGAGGCAGAAACATGTTTTTGTTTGTTTGTTTGTTTTTGGGTCACACCTGGCGATGCACAGGGGTTACTCCTGGCTCACGCACTCAGGAATTACTCCTGGTGGTGCTCGGGGGACCATATGGGATGCTGGGAACCAAACTCGGGTCAGCTGCGTGCAAGGCAAACATCCTACCCGCTGTGCTATCACTCCAGCCCAAGGCAGAAACATGTTTAGAGAGTTCTCTACTCTCCTCTGCATGGCCCACCTCTGCAGGCTGCGGCTCCCGCCTCTGGACGGCTGTGCCGTCAGCACGGCCCAGGGCTAGCGCCTGGGAAGGGGACAGCTGGGGAACCCCAGGGCTCACCGCTGCTCCTGGGCTGCCACGTGCAGGGAGTCCATGATGAGGCGCACGGCCTCCGCGATCTGCTTGGCACGGACCGTGTGCTGCTCAAACTTGGTCTTCACGGCAGACTGGGAGATGCACTCCTGCAAGGGGGACGGGGAGCTGAGCGAGGGTGGGACACTGCAGGGACCCCTTTGAGGGGGGCACGCACCCGGGGACTCACCTCAAACCTCCGCTCGAAATTCTGAAACTCGAACATCCTCACTTGGAAACCCTCGGCCAGAGCGCCCCCTAGGGGAAGTGTGTGTCAGTCTCGGTTGCTCCCAGACCCCGGGCAAGCCAAGAGCTGCTCCCGAGGATCCACACGTCAGGTCCCTCTCAGCAAGATTCCACCCCAGGCGCGGCGCATGCTCTGTGGCCCCGAGCCCCAGACTCTGCAGGGACCCCAAGACTCGGGCACCAGGCAGGCAGAGACCCCAGCCCGTGCTCTCACCTCCTTCAGGCATGCCCTGGGCCTTCTGGATCCGCGCATTGAGCACCTCCTTGGCAGACACGAAGAAGATGCGGTCTCCGGCCTGGCCTCGGTCTACCACGCCCAGCTCATCCACCAGGAAGCCAGTGCAGCGCTCCATGTGCTGGCGCCGCACCTGGGCCAAGAACACAGCAGGCTGGGACGGCCCCTCTCGGCCCCTCTGGGAGCCAAGGGCTGGGTCCCCGAACAGTCTGTCCCCACTCCGTCCCCCATCCCCTGGGGGGGCGCTCGGGGGACAGCGGCAGACATGCTGGGCAAGGTGCAAGGCTGGAACCTAGTTCTCACCTTGTTCCCCGGAAGGAAAAGCACCTGGGGGGTGTCAAGAGACCCAAGCCCAGGTTTGCAGCCATGCGCAGCCCAGGGACCTGGGGCCTGCCCCAGGGGAAGCCCCTTCATGGAGCCCTGACACCAAATTGAAAAAGTAAAAATAAAAAGCAGCCGAGTTGTGGAGGCCAGTGACAGGCACTACCCTTTGTGCCTCAGACACGGATCCCGTCAACCATTCAGGGGCCTCTTCCAGGAGGGTGAAGGTGTGGACAGAGGTCCCTGCCCAGGGTCACTCTGTTAACAGCACCTTCTCCCCCAGTGTCACCATCTGTGACCCCAAAGAATACAGGGGTCGCTCTCTACCGTCGCCCAGCGTGCAGCCAGGACAGCTGGCCCACGGAGACACCCACCTCCTCCATGTACTCGGGCTCCGAGGCAGATGCATCCCAGCGGTTGTTGAGGATGAAGATGTTGGGTCGGGACAGGCGCTCGCTGACCTTGTGGAAGAACTGCTTCTCCTGGGGAGACAGGGCCGAGGTCAGGGGGCATAGGGTAGGGGTCACAGGGCAGGGAGCACAGGGCTCAGGATGGGGGCCACAGGGCAGGGGGCACAGGGCGGGAGGCTCACCGTCTGCATCAGGGTGGACTCCGAGTTGGCCACCAGCACAAACACATCGGCATCCAGGCAGAATTTGTCAATCCAGCTGTCCAGCTCTGTGGTGACATCGATGCCAGGGCTAGCGGGGAGGAGCCAGGGTGGGTGAGCACCAGGCACAGAGCACGCAGGGCCACCCGAGGAAAAAGCGGGGGGGGGGTCGGGGAGGTTGGAGGGTGTCCCCAGGGAGGGACTTGTCCCTTCACTACATAACCTCCAGAAGGTCGGAAATGTGGCTGTCGCACCATCTGCTACCTATCACACGCATCACACATCACACTTACTAGTCACCTTCACATCACACACATCACAGTCACCTTCACATCACACCCATCAGTCAGCCTCAAAACAGTCACATTCATATCACACTTTCCTTTCACATGCATCACACATTCAATTTTGTACCACACATTCACCATACCACACACTTTCTTCGCCTTCAGACTCCATGTATTCGCGTCCATATCACATTCACTGTATCACACACGTGCTCACTTTTTTTTTTATTATAACGTAGGAGCACTGCTATGTGTTTACCTTTGCATCGCACACATGTTCACCGTTTCATGTCACGCACATGTTCACTTTCACATCACACACATATTAAGTCTCCTATCACAGACATGCACCTTCACATCACACGCATCTATCACCATCATAGAACCCTTTACCCAGAGCTATGGGTCCCTTTACTTTGGAGAAAAACAACTCAGGGCAGTTTGGGGCTTTTTGGGAGCCAGAAAGGCAACTGCACCTCTAAGTGTGATCGGAACCTTGTGATGTGAAGTGTGATGAGAAAGCCGCAGGAGAAAAGCCCCCAAGACCCCACTGCGCCCAACACACACAGTGCTGGGCCAAGGCCGAACCCCTCTGCTTTTCTGGGGGCCCCGCTCATCCCGAAAGAACACCACTGAACCATGGACATCCTCAGGCCCTCGACCAGAGGCACCTGCAACCCAGCCTGCAGGAAACGAGGGTGCAGGAGGCCAGTGAGAGGCAGCCAGGCCTGTGTGAAGGCAGGAAGGGGCCAACGGCGGGCACCGTGGTGGTCACCCTGCGCGGCCCGCCTACCTGTCCATCAGCACCAGGTCATCTCTGAGCAGCGAGCACTTGGAGTTGGGCCACATGACGCTGACCAGGCTCCCGGCGTGCAGCTGCTCGTCCTGGTGCAGGGCGTGGGCCAGCTGGTTCACGGTCTGCGGAGTGAGACAGGGCATGGGCAGCTGGCGCCAAGGGCAGAGACCCCCATTCGGACAGCGGTCTACAGTCCGGGTGGCTGGCCCAGGGTCCACGTGCACGGAGGCGGCCCCCAGCCCCAAGCGAGAACCCCCTGGCTTGAGGGGGATTAAAACCAGCAAGCCCCCAGCCAGCGTGCGCAGTCACCCTTGGCTGAAGGTCCCAGCAGAACACGCGCATCCGCCCCCCCAACTGCAAAGACAGTCGTTGCCAAGCTGCCTGGAGATGCCCTGGGGACTGCAGCCTCCGGGTTCTACGCCTCGGAGGTCCCGGGGCCCCTCACGCCTTGGCCAGAATGACATTCCCTGTGGCAGCGCCCCCACAGCCCCTCACCTTGACGCTCTTCTTCTCCTCCGAGCCCTCCGTCAGCAGGAAGGCCTCGTGGCCGTCAGTACCCTCCACCCGCAGGAAGCAGTTGGTGGTGTGCCCGATGCCCGAGGGCAGCACCTTGTCCCAGAGCATGGCATTGATCACGGTGCTCTTCCCGTTGCTCGTCCTGAGGGAGGGGTGGCCATCAGGGAGCTGCCGGCGTGGGCAGCCACACCATGCCCCGTGGGCACTATGCCCAGGAAAACAGAGCAACAGACACCCCAGGGGTTGGGGCAGAGGTGCCACCTGGCCTGTAGGACCGGAAGACCTGGGCTCCACAGAGTCTCCCAGGCTGGCAACTCCCTGCTATCAGAGGCCACCAGCTCACTCCCAGGGCTCAGGGGCCTCAGCTGAATGGCCAGTGTCAGATCTCCGAGCAGCCCTCCTGGGGGCCCCGGCATCCCAGATGGTCCCCCAAGCACTGCCAGGAGTAATTTCTAAGTGCCGAGTCAAGAGTAACCGCTGAGCACTGCCAGGGATGGCCCGAAAACAATAAAAAAAATAAATAAATAAATAGGGTTCTTTTCTGGAGGTGCTCAGGGCCCGTATGTAGTATCAGGATGGACCCCAGGCCAGCCACAGGCAAGGCAAGCACCTTTTCTGCTGCACAAGCCCTGAGCACTGCTGGGTGTGGCCAAAAACAGCAAATAAACTGGACTGGGCAAAAAGAAAAGCTTGTGGGGCTGGAGAGACAAGACAGCAGGCAGAGCACTTGCCCTGCACGTAGCCAGCCAGGGTCCGACCCCCAGAGCCCCATGGGGTCCCCTGAGCCACTAGAGATGATACTGAGCACGCAAAAGCGTGGCCCCAAAACAAAAACAAGACAGGCTGGAGAGATGGTACAGCAACCAGGGTGCCGCCTTGCACACAACTGACCTGAATGAAAGCGATCCCCGGCGTCCCATATGGTCCCCCAAGCCTTGCCAGGAATGAGTCCTGAGCACAGAGCCAGGAGTAAGTCCTGAGTACCACCAGGTGTGGCTCAAAATTTAAAACTTCTTTAAAAAAGGAACAAAAAGAGCAAAACTTCCATGCACCGGAGAGCACAGGGAGGAAAGAGTGGAGAACATCCCGGGGGGAAAAAAATCAGGAAAGAATGTCTCTGGGGAACATTCTGCAGGGCAAAGAATACCTATAACTGAACAACAGCAACAATCTTTAATAAAGGATACAAATGACAACAATGTGGCTCAGTGCCAAAGCACATACTTGGCATGCCTGAGATCCCAGCACATACACAAAAATAGACACAACAATGGTCCGTTGGGCTGGAACGACAGCACGCAGGGAGGCGCTTGCCTTGCACGTGGCAGACCCAGATCGGATCCCCAGAATCCCATATCGTCCCCCGAGCCAACCAGCGCCAGGAGTAACACCCAAGCATTGCTGGGTGTGGCCCCCAAAACAGACAAATCAAAGAAAGTGTCAGATGGCACAGGAAGAGACCCAACATCACAAACCACCAGGGAAAGGCAAACGAGAAGCACCGTCACACCTGGCCGCCATCTGGACGGCCTTCCCCGGACACTGAAGGCCAGACGGGGAGCAACGCCAATGGGGGGTTCAGAGCCACGAGCAGAAGCTCCTGGAAGGTCCACAAGGCCTGTGGGATGGCCCACAGTGTCCAGGGTTTGGAATAACCAGGTCCACGTGGCAAAAGTGGGTACTGTGCATGCAGGGAGCCAGCGTGGGAGGGCGCTGACCCAGTAACTGACCTGCACTAGCAGGAGTGGGCGGTGCAGAGGGCCAACAGGGCTCGGACACCTCACGGGCACTGACCCGGGCTCCAGCCCCCGGGAACTGGCTGAGGATCACTGGGAGCGGCCCCCCAGCCCTCAGGAAGACCCTCCCCCCGTCATCACCACCATCACATCCAACACAAAGGGCGGGGTCCACCCCCTTCCCTTCGAGGAGCCAGAAGTGGACGTGGGCTGTGACCTGTCCCGTGGGTTGGGTCTGGCTCCGCTGGGCAGGAAGGAAAGCGGCCAGAGCAGTAGGACAGGAGGCGTTTGCCTTGCACGTGGCCGGCCCAGATTCGATCCTTGGCACGTCACATGGTTCCCCCAGTTGGCCAGGAGCAACTCCCGGGTGCCGAGCCAGGAGTCAACCCTGAGCACTGCCGGGCGTGGCCCCCAAACAGAACACAAACAGAAATGGAAGCTCCCCAGGGGTGGACTTAACCGACCACGAAGAACAGCAAAGAGGGCGACCGTACTGGACCGCTGTTGGGGGCCACACCCAGCTGTGCTCAGGGCTCGCTCCTGACAGGGATCGGGGAACCACAGAGGGTGCTCGGGATCGAGCCCTGCGGGCCGTGTGCAAAGCTGGCGCCCGCCCCGCCGCCTCGTGTCTCTCAACACTGTTAGAGACGAGGGCTGGGGCTGCGTGGCCGGCAGAGGCTGAGGGCTCATGACTCACCGGCCGAAGAAGGCCACCTTCATGTGCCGCCGGGCCAGCACCTCACTGATGCCCCGGACTTTGGACAGGTAACCTTTGACGTCCAGGACCTGCTCCTCCGTGGTGACCGGGTCCAGCTCTGCATTCCGGTAGGTGTCTGGAGGCAGAGAGCAAACGCAGTTAGTCCCCTCGAAGGCGGGCTCGGTCACACGTGTGCCCTGGCCCTGCAGCTCTTGTAGGCACTGGCCAGAAGGAGCTGGACGCCAAGTTCCAGAGCCACGATGGGCAGGTCACCGCTTCCGTGCTTTGGGCCTCAGGCCACAGAACCCACCCGAGTCTAGGACCCTCACCCTGGGAAGGAGGCTCGTCACAGAGGTGTCTGCCTCTTCTGATAGCCGCAGGAGCCCCCAGGACCAAGCCACCAAGAGCCAGGAGGGAGCAGGCCAGGACGTGGGAAACCCCTGACCCCCACTGCCTCCTGGTCCCATTCAGCACTCACCACCATGGGGGTTCTCCCGCGGCCTGACCCCTTTGCACCATCCACTCGATCTGGGCCTGGACACTGAGCATCTGCCCAAGGATCCCCCCTGCCCCCTCGCCATACCCCACAATGCCTTGGGCGTCCAGCGTATTCCCGCTGGGCCCGAGGCCTGGCCAAGCGCAGCCCAAGCAAGCCTCCCCTGCCCCCTCTAGGCTGAGCAGAACCTTTGAGCTCATCAGGACTGTCACTGACCCCGGCACGAGCAGATACAGCATCTGCCCTCAGCCACAGGGACGCGTGCAGAGAGGGGTGTCAGCAGACTGTGCCCAGCGCCCTCTGCTCCCCACACTGGGGCTCTGTTGCCCCCCGCTGCCCCAGTGGGTAAGGGATGGTGTCTGGGAGGTCGAGGCCCTGCCAATCCCAAGGGTCCAGGTGGCCACTGGCCTGCAGCTCCCCCGTGCAGGGCCTCTGTGCGGGTGGCGTTTCGCCAGCTGCCCACGGCGCCCTGCAGCTGAGGCTCCAGGGAAATGACCAGTCCCCGGCCCAGACCTGTCAGCATTCCTCACAAGGTGTGTGTGTGTGGGGGGGGGGGGGGACGACTCAAGGACGGTGACAGTGAAAGAATGGACACTGGCACACAGTCCTCACTGTCCTTCCGGCTGCCCAGGTCAGTGGAGAGGGCAGGGTTGGGAGCTCCAGGGGGTGAAGGGTTGCCAGTCCCATTCCCGCACCACATGGTTCCCCCAGGGCTAACGGGTGGGCCCCAGCACCTCCTCAACCACCTGAGCACCCACTGGGAGCCCCCAACTGATGGAAAGGGGAAATGAAAACACCCGCTCCAGAAATCCCCCTTCACACCACACTTGTCACCACGGCACCTCCAAGTGGACCGCTCAGGGGTCAGTGTGGGTTCTGCTCTGGGGGGGGGGGGGGAGGGAAGCAGCGGCCTGGCCAGCACCCCCCAACCCCTGCAGAACTAACCTAAACCACTCCATGCTATGGTCCCATCACTTTCACTCTCACGGCTGACCCAGGGTCCACCCCGGGGCCCCGTGTCTACCTGGGTACAAAGATAAGCCCGAGTGACAACTGGGTGGGCTGCGGGGGAGATGGACGTGGAGCCCCCTGTCTGATCATGGGTTTCCTGCAGAGGGCGCTCATCTCAGGAGCTCCCCGCACCTGCATGGCACCCCCAGTGCTGGCTGCCAGGAGGCTCTGCAGGAGGGGTCAGAAGGAGGTCGCCATGGGGGGAGGGGGGCAGCACTGAGCCAGGCACACAGGCGTGTCCTGACTGGGGGTGCCAGCAGCAACACCGCACCCAAGGTAGGGAGCACGTCCCCTCCATCCCCACCCGCGCCTTCGAACCTCGCCAGCTGCACACACGTGGACTCACACCCCACCCCCCGCCCCGGTGCCATCCGAGCCCCAGCGGGAGGGTATCACAGGAACCCCCAGCAGAGCAGGGAAGCATGGAGAGGGTCACACTCGCAGGCAGTGCCCCACTTAGAAACTAGTGGAAAAGGCGCGGGTGACGCAAGTCTCCTATTCATAGTCCTGTCCCGAGCTAAAAATACCCCACGGGGCAGCCACACCCAGACAGGCCCCACAGGCACCGGCACAGGCACCAGCACAAGCACGGCTCCTTCCCACCTTCCCAGGGCTCGCCTAATCCCTCACCTAATCCGAGGATTAGAGGGAATGGAAGAGGCTGGAGCAGCAGGGAAGGGCGGTTTTTCCTCCCTCCCTGGGGAGGCCCGTCCCATCTGCTGCTTCTGCAGCTGGGAGCAGGCCTGGCCCCTGGGCCCCGAGTCAGAGGAGGGCGGCGCGCAGGGGTGGCTCTCACCTTCCAGGAAGGTGGCGCTCTCCTGGATGTAGGCCCCCAGCTGCTCGAAAATCCCATTGATCTTCTTCTTGGCGGTGACGAAATGCTTGAGCGGAGACGCATTCACCTCGGCCATGTGTCTCTTGTCCTTCTTGCCCGTGACGATGGAGTTGCATGGAGAGAAGAGCAGGGACATCGCGCTGCAAGAGACAGGAACACGGGGCTGGGGACCTGCCCGCCGGGCGGACACAGTGCTCCGGGAGGAGACCGACAGACAGCAGCCCGCAGACCAGCGCCGCTCCCAGGCCGGGCCTGTTCCTGCTGCTGCTCGCTCCTGGCCGGCTGGACGCGAACAAGTCCTGACCCCACCTCTGAGAGGCCCGAGAACCAGGCAGAGACGGGTTTTAGACGTGTGCCCCCCAACAGCAGACATACTCAAGGTCCATGGCCTCACCCTCAGCCCCTGCCATGGGGCCCCAACTCCTGACAGGCCCCAATCATGGGTCTCCCGTTGGCCGGAGGGGGAGAGGGTGATCTCTGAGGTGTGACTCGATGTCCTGACATCTTGGATGCATGTACAGGCTCTTCTACTGCAAACGTGGCCACTCAGGAATGGGAAACGAGCCCACTCCCCCCGGGACCAGCCCCATCGGCGTTGGCTCAGTGCCAAGGTCTGGAAGGCTAGGGGGCGGGGTGGGGGGGCCCTTCTTGCTTGTCAGCTCACACACATCTCCGCAGCCTTTTCTTTTCACACACCAACACACCAGAGCTGACTTCAAAGTCCTGGCGATCTCTGGATGAAGTCAAGAGGCAAACCACACAAACAGCATGCACGGGGGTGGCTGGAAGCCTGCCTGGCGCCCAGCCCGGGGCACAACTGCAGCCCCTGCAGACAGCGTGTCTGCCTCCCCCAGCACTGCCGAGCCATGGCCACTCCCTGCCGGGGCGAGCACACCCCAGAAACTTCCCAAGAGTGCCCCGGGCCGTGGGCAAGTGCTGAGCAGCGGGAAGAACAGGGCAAAGGGCAGTCGCTGGACACAGGCTCCCAGGACCCGGCCAGCCCAGAGTGAGCAGAAAGCCCGCAGGGAAATGGGAGGCTTCGCCTAAAGGGACGAAACACTGATGCAGTCCACTCGGGGACCGCAGAGCCACTCCTCCCTTCCCCTCGCGAACAGCTGTGAGCAAGTCTGTCCGCCAAGGCCAGGCCTCAGCTGCAACTTCGAAAGGCAGCAGAGGGGCAGAGCGAGACGACAGCAGGGAGGGCGGCTGGCGTGTATGCTGACCCGGGTTCGATCCCCGGTGTCCCATATGGTCCCTGAGCACCGTATGGGCCCTGAGTACTGCCAGGAGAGATCCCTGAGTGCAGAGCCAGGAGTAAGGCCTGAGCATTCCTGCGTGTGACCCAACGTCCTCTAAGCAGAAATTAAGAAAAGGGTCTGGGCAAGAGCAAAAGCGGCGCCAAGGGCGAGACCCGGGGGCCAGAGACGGTCTGGTCCAACCATGGCTGCACGGCTTCTGCGCGGTCAACCGAGCGACCCATCTCACGTGACAACCGTGGGCACAAGCACGACACTCCCCAGACTCAACCGTGAGCTACAAGGTGGTTTCCCAGGGTGTGACGCAACACCCATCACGAGATGCCCACAAACACCTGGTCAGCCTCCGGGGGTAGGGGCGACTCCACCCCCCAACGTGCCCAGAAGCGACTTCCCTGCAGGCAACACATTGCCTGAGCCCACTGGGCATTGGGAGCAAGAGCTTCTAACTTCTGATCCTCTTTGCAAGCCCAAAGGACACGACAGGGTCACGGCTGGGGAGAGCCGGGTCACAGCTGCAGAAATGGCTCAGAGGCTCCAGGGGGCCAGAACTGCTGCTCGTTCAGACCCCCCAGGCCTCTGCGAGGGGGACAGCACCACCCCCCACACACACACACTCCTGCACTTAGCCTGCAGGGGCAGGATTCTGGGGCGTGGCTGCAGGTGAGAGAACTCAGGGCCTCACGTGAGAAGTCTGCGCTTGGCCACTTCCACAATCTCCCTGGTCTGCTCACTCCTATCTCCGTCTCCACATCCCATCTGGGAAGTTTCCCAAGAGGATGGGCAGATGACAGAGCTATTTCTGATTCTACTTTCCTCCTCCCCGCAGAGAGAGATACAGTGAGTGAGTAAACATCCCTTCTAGAACCGCCCATCCGCAACACACAAACCTAGTTTCTCTCAAGAAGCTGGGGCAGGAGGAAGGGGCCTGCAAGGGGAGGATCGGGCGGTGGGGAGGGTCTTTGCCTTGCATGCGATTCCCAGCATCCCAGATGATCCCCCAAGCACCGCCAGGAGCTGATTCCTGAGTGCAGAGCCAGGAGTAACCCCTGAGCATCGCCACCGGGCCATCAGGTGCGGCCCAAATACCACCGAAAAGCAGCGTTGGGGGGCCAGAGATAGTACAGTGGGTAAGGCACTTGCCCGACAACCTGCTGGGTTTGATCTCTGAACGAAGAGTCAGGAATAAGCCCCAAGCATCACTGGGCGTGCCCCCCCCCCCCCCCCCGAGGACATCCCCTCTGAGAATCCCATGTTCACTCTTGAACACACAACCTCTCAGGCCCTCCACTTCTCTAAATTCCTTTCAGCAACAAATCATCCGGTGTCGCTAAAGAATCTTTGGGCTCATCATCAGTTTCTTGGTGCCTGGAGATGCACCCAGGGTCAAGAAAGCAAAACCTTTCCGGCTGAGTTGTTAATTCTTCAGGAAAGGGAAAGATGTGGACAAAAGGCCCCAGGTGGCCAATCTCACACACACATAAGCTGAACCACGCAGGGGCTTGGTCTGCTGGCTTCCCCCAACCAGAGTGGTGGAGGCAGCTGGGGCCCTTTCCTCTGCTCCCAAAAACTACGGCAGGACCCCCGTACATGGGCTGAGCGGCACGGGCCTGGCATCGGCCACACACCCAGCAGCTCGCTTCCCGTTCCCAGGGCTGCCCCCTGAAGCACTGCGGAGGCCTCCCGGTCTTGGCAGCTAGGGCACCATCTCCCAAAGTGCGCTCTGTGGGACTCTTCCAGGGGCTGCAGCCACAGGACAGTGGGGAGGGCGTTTGTCTTGCACGCGGTCAACCCGGGTTCGATCCCCGGCATCCCACATGGTCCCCTGAGCACTGCCAGGCATGATCTCTGAGTGCAAAACCAGGAATAAGTCCTGAGCACCACCAGGTGTGGCCCGAAAAACAAACAAACAAACAACAAAAAAAAAGGATTCAAGACTAAAACCAATTTGGAGGAATTGCACAGTGGGTAGGGCGTTTGCTTTGCACGTGACACGGGTTCAATTCCCAGCATCCCATATGGTCTCCCGAGCACCGCCAGGAGTAATTCCTCAGTGCATAAGCCAGGAGTAACCCCTGTGTATTGCGGGGTGTGACCCCAAAAGCTCCCCCCATCCCCCCCAAAAAATAAAAAACCTAAAACTGATTTGTGAAACACTGCTGGCTAAGGGTCCCCACTCCCAGTAGGCATGTACGTACAGGAAGCGCTCTGGGAAGGACAGCTGGCGCTAAAGCTACTGGCCTCAAGATTTCATGCCACCCCTGAAGAGTGAATCTCATCAGACCCTTCTCCGTCACAGCTGTCACCGTCCCAAGGCTCACACGCTTCAGAAAAAGCCTCATTCCTGATGGTCTCGCCACTCACTCGTCCCTCACAACAGCACGGAGGGCCCAGCACTAACGCACGTTAACCCGAGAACCGGAACAAACCCCAGTCAACACGGAAGCTGCCACAAGCGCTCCAAGGTCATCAAAAGCTTGGCCTCAACCGCGCCATCAGCTGTGGAGTGTTAGGTGTCCCGGGCGGAGGGAGGGCAGCGGCAAAGGGCTCGGCAAGGTGTGAGAGGTGCCCAAGCGCGGCCCCTGAAGCCACACCACCTCCTTACCCAGTTGTATGCACAGCCAACTCCTAGCAGGGAAAAGAAAACGGATCCACGGATCCACGGACCGTCTGCCGGCACAGCGGGAACAGAGGAGAAGCTGAGAAATTGAAACAAAAGAGCAAACAGGGTGAAGGGGGAGGAAGAGCAGCGGCTCAGGAGAGCCTGAGGAGGGAGGACAGCCTCTGCTGGGTGAGGAGATGGGGCATAGTGACCAGCAGATAACAAACAGGGGAGGGACGGGCTCTTCTGGCAGCCCGGGCAGCCCAGGCCCTCTCTGTCACCAGCCAAACCCTCCAGGGAAGCAGAGGACACATTCGAGTTCCCAGCCCAGGCTGGAAAAACCTCCAGTTCCGGGCAAAATCGGCCCCAGCCGAGACCGTGCTGCCCGTTGGATGGCTGGCAACGCCTCCGCGCACCCCGATCCCGTGTCTGGTGCCACAGCCACCACGTACTTTCCAGATGGTGAAAGACCTCACAGGGTGGGCATGACTGGCATCCAAAATCAGCGCGGACTCTGCATTCTTCTCCGTGCGGCGTCAGGGTGAAGTTGGCTGTGGTTTGTTCGGCCTCCACCGATCCCCGACCTGGAGGGTAGGCAAAAGGTCGCGTCAACAGACAGCAGCACCACACACACACACACCACGCAACGTGCCCAAGCGGACCGAGCGTCAAGCAAACTCATCCCTGAGGGAAGCTTAGTCATCGAGGCACTGGGGTGCACGGGAGGAAGCGCCCTGGGAAAAACAGGGCCAAGCCCAAAGGTGTCAAAACACGTGTTCAGCCAGGTGGTGTCGGGCAACGGGGCAAAGGCACATCTGCAGAGAGGAAAGGCGGGAGAGATGGACGACCAGAGCAAAGAAGGCTCGCGAGGACAGTGGAATCACACGCCGGGGACAGGAGAACAGAAAGAGAAGAGAAACTTACTGCAAGCCCACGCATGTGGGGGCCCCTGGAAAGCGGCTTAATTCTCCCTTCTACAGGGCGCGCCAGGGGCTGGGAACTGACACGGCTTATCAAGCGGCTGATACAAATGACCACGCTGGGAAGTGAGATAACGCTTCTCTTCCTCTGAAGTCCCCTGGCTTGGCATTAATCGGTCTTACCCCACCCTTGGAGGAGGTGGAAAGGGAGATCGGCAGAGTTCTTCGGCAAGGAAGGAAGAGAGAAAGCATCAAAATCAAAGAAACGGGCACTTGGGGCTGGAGTGATAGCACAGTGGGTAGGGCATTTGCCTTGCACAAGGCCGACCCAGGTTCGATTCCCAGCATCCCATATGGTCCCCGGGGCACCGCCAGGTGTCATTCCTGAGTGCACAGCCAGGAGTAACCCCTGAGCATCGCCAGGTGTGACCCAAAAAGCAAAAAAAAAAAAAAAACAGGAAACGGGCACTTGAGAATGTCTGGCCCCTGGGATGGGCAATTCTGGTTTCCATGCACTTCGGGGAGGTCGTTACTTGGCATTTTCTGGGCGCTTTCCGCTGTGTGGTCTAGGGAGGAACTATGGAGGAGAGGGGGGGGACACCCAGTCCCCAGAGATGATACAGCGGGATGGGCGCTTGCAGGCCGCCCACCCAGGCGGGATGCCCAGCCAGGAGCGATCCCGGAGCGCAGAGCCAGGAGTCAGCCCCGAGCCCTGCCCGGGTGTGGCCCAGAGAAAAAGCAAAAGTAATTAAACGGGAAGAAGCAGAAGGAGGAGGAGGAGAAAAAGGCCCAAGGGCCATAAGAAACCCCACAATCAAACCGTCGACCAAGAGGGAGCGCCGTGAGTGTCCCGAGGGGCGAGGGCGGTGGGGGACGGCCGGGGTGGACGCGGGCGGCCCAGCAAGTCCCGGTGGGGTCAGCAGATCGAGAGGAGGATGGGAAGGCGGGGAGGGGAGGCTGGAGTGTGGCCGTGATGGCCGGCGCCGAGGGGCTCCGGGGCTCCCCGGCCCCCGAGTCCCTGCATCCCGCCCCCTCCTCTTGGGGACCACGGAGGGCCCGTCGGCCAGGCCCCAACGCGGGGCCGGCCCCCTTACCCGTACCCCGAGCCTCCGGCTGTCCCCGAGCCCGCCGCCCCACGCCAGGCTGCCCCCCGAGCCCCCCAGGGAGTGCCGGCGGGTCCCCCCGAGCCGGCGCGCTCGCCCTCTCACCTTCACCTTCCCGGCCTCGCGGCGGCCATGATGCCTCCTACGTCACCAGTCAGCGCCCCCCGGAGAGAGGCGGGAGAGAGGCGGGCGGGCGCGCGCGTCACCGGTCGCCACGGGCTGGCGGCTCCCGCCCCGGTGGGCTCCGAGCGCCGACGGTTCGACCCTCCTGCTCCTTACGGGTCAGCGAGTCCCGCGGGTAAGTACCAGGAAAGGCGTCTGGGCGCGCGCGCTCGCCGCCAGGGCGTCCCAAGCCGATGACGTCAAGCCTCGTGACTCCCGGAGCATCATGGGAGTTGTAGTTCCGCGGGGCACCCGCCCGGGCGGGGCGGGGCGGGGCGGGGCGGGGCCTCGAACTGTCAAGGGGCGAAGAAAACAAGGGCGTGGACGGGAGGCTCCTCGCGCGCTTTTGTTGCCCCAGAGCCTGACCACCACCCCCTGGCAGAGCCGAAAAGGCCTCCCTCTATCCGCTTTGCAATCCAAGCCGGCGTTTTGTAACCTTAGATGTAACCTTAGAGGAGAAATCCGAAGAGGTTCCGGCGTTTAGGGTGAGGTAACCCGTGTAGGAATGCAGAAGCAAGGAGGGGCCAGCTGCCCTTCAATCGTCTTTGAAAAAGAACATCAACATCTGTGACTGAGCAGGACACCGAACATCCGCCTCTGCATTTAATCTTCCCAGTGGTCCCGGGGCTTGGGTGGGTGCCCGTCAGGCAGAACACTGGGTCTCATTATGTGCCAGGCACGAGGGCCCAGCAGGAAGCAATCTGATGGACCCAGCCCCCTCAGAAAAGGCTCCTGGCCAGCTAGGGGAGGGCAGCCCCTCGTCACAGGTGGCCCCTGCTGTCCTGAAACTTGGCTGGTGTGAGCTGAGATACTCTGTAAGACATAGTACAGAAAAAAAGGAATGTAAGCCTCCCCCCTTTTTCTGTTTTGTTTTTTGTTTTTGCTTTTTGGGTCACACCTGACAGTGCTCACTGAGGGTTACTCCTGGCTCTGCACTCAGGATTTACTCCCGGTGGTGCTTGGGGGACCATATGGGATGCTGAGAATCGAACCCAGGTTGGCCACGTTCAAGGTAAATACCTTACCCCCTGTACTATAGCTCCAGCTCCCCCTTCCTGCTTTTTATACTATATACATGATAGTATTTTGTGTCTGGGTGTGAGCCACACCCAGCAGTGCTCAGGTCTTACTACGGCTCTGTGCACTCCTCATAGTGGTCAGGGGACCGTATGGGATACCTGAGATCGAACCCGGGTCGGTTGCATGCAAAGCAAGCACCCTACCCACTGTACTATTGCTCCAGTTCCTAAAGTGCTCAGATTACAGATAATTTGGGTTAAAAATAATATACGCCTGGGAGCCAAAGAGATGGTACAACGGATAAACATTTTTCCTTGTACCCTACCAACCCGGATTTGATTCCCGGCACCACAAACTGGTCCCCTGAGTCCCAGCAGAAGTGATCCCTGAGCTCAGAGCCAGGAGTAAGCCCTGAGCATAGCCAGGTGTGGCCAAAGTGGGGGGAAAAAAAACAAGAGATCCTAATGTCAGCTATTTGCTATTTCAAGTGTGACAACTTGACACTTGTTTATTTGGGGGTGGGGGGCTCAGGGCTTAACTACTGCTCTAAACTCAGGTATCACTCATAGTGTGGCCATAGAGGAGACCAGGAGACCATAGAGGGTGTGAGGAATCAAACCCCGGTCAGCTGCGTGGAGGACAAGAACCTTATCACTCCAGTACCTGTGACTGCTGTGTGTGAGAGAACAGGAGACAAAAAGTCACTTGTGCTAAGGCCCCCAAGTCGCTAAACCAGGACTTCATAACTAACCTGACAGCAGTTTCCATATGTTCCAGGGATATCACCTTTAACCTGAAAATTCTAGCAAGGAAAGCTCCTTCCCCCCGGGGGAAGGTGCCCTAACCTCACTGCCACCTGACTCACTGTTCCTCTGCTCCCTTTCCGCAAAGGAAAACCTCTCACCTGGCACCTGGCCAGTGGGGTGCTGTCTGATTCCTGAGGTTTAGTAAGGTCAAACACAACTTCAAATGTAGGGACCGGGGCAACAGTACAGCAGGTAGAGTGCTTTGCCTGAATGCAGCTGACGCAGGTTGATCTTCCTGAGCCCTCCAGGAAGTGATCCTTGAGCACAGAACTGGGAGTAATCCCTGAGTACAGCAGGGTGTGTCCCGCAAACATGCACTTTTGAATCACACCGTTTATGGGATGGGGTGAATCAGTGATTCCCTGCCAAGCTTGCTGGTAGCACAATACAAGGGCCTAAGGACTTTGCTATTGCTCTGGCCCTTGTGGCATGAAAATTTTCCAGGCCACCCCTGGGGTACTGGGGTCTCCAGAGAAACAACCATGAAGAAGGGGACCACATGCTGAAAGGGACCATGTGGAGAAACGATCTAACCCGGGCCAGGTGCATGCGAGGGATACGCCCTAACCACTCTACCATCTCCCACTTAGTTTATGGTCACTGTCATTGTCCTCCCGTTGTTCATCGATTTGCTCGTGCAGGCCCAGTAACACTGTGAGACTTGTTACTCTGTTTGGCATATTGATTACGCCATGGGTAGCTTGCCAGGCTTTGCCATCCTGAGTTTATGGTAATGGGTTGCTTTTGTAAAGGCTCTGAGGATGGTGGTTGGTTGCCAGGGAAATGGAGGATGTGATCAGAGGACCAGAACTCTCAGCCCCATCCCCGATGGGGAAGGAGACCCTGAAAGGGGCTGGAGATTGACTTGCACACAAAGGCCAGTGATTTAACATTGACTGGCAGCTCACACTCAGATGTGCTTTTTGGGGGCTGCAAGGGGCACACCCATCAGTGCTCAGGGGTTACTCCTGGCTCTGCTCTCAAGGATCACTTCTGGGGGCACTCAGGGGACCATATAGAGTGCCTGGGATCAAACCTGGGCCAGCCGCCCACAAAGCAAGCACCCTACCCGCTATACTCTGTCCAGCCCCCAAATGGTCCACACTTGACGTGGCTTAATGAACACAAACCACAGCACCAGTGTCAACAGGGCCACCAAGCGTAGCTGCATGATGAAAAGTCCATAAAAATCTCTGAATTGGGCTGGGCTGGAGTGAATGCATTGCATATGGGAGGCCTGGATTTGACCCCAGCACTGTTTAATCCCACCAGCAATGCTAGGAACAAAGCCCCATGCACAGAGCCAGGAGTAGCCCTCAAGGACTGCTGGAGATGACCCCCCCCCCAAAAAAAACTAATAAATCCCAGGACAGGGGTCAGGGAGATAGGCCACAGGACCTCGTTGCATGTGCCAGCCCTGGGTTTGGTCCACAGCACCACGGGTCCCATGTGGCCAGGCTAAGTAGTGCCAGGCATGGCTCCCGCCCTGGGTCTGGGCACTGTTGGGATGTCCTCCCACCAAAAACCCCTGAACTAGACTGGGGAGCTTCAGACTGGTGAGCAGAGAAGTACACAGAAGCACCTCCTGCCTGCACACATCTCTCCCCAAATCGCTTCCATCTATCCGTCCCTGCAGTGTACCTTTTTGTTTCGTTTTGGGGTCACACCCGGTGGTGCTCAGGGCTTAGTCCTGGCTCTGCACTCAGGGATCACTCCTGGTGGACTTGGGGGGACCATCGGGGATGGCGGGGATAGAGCCCAGGTCAGCCACGTGCAAGGCAAACGCCCTCCCCGCTGTACTATGCTCCCACCCCATGTGGTGCATTCTTTTATGTGGAAGCAGCAATCCAATAAAGGGCACTGCAGAAGAGCAGGCAAGTGGCAGTTGGCAGTTTTCCTGGGATGGGTGCGACTGAGCCATTACCTGCAGGTACCAGACGCTGCCTCAGGGCAGAAGGCATCAGAACGAAGGCTAGAGAGAAACCTGAATGGGGCAAGCATGGGCAGGCATGTGCTTGTGTCCCATCCCCCACATCCCCTCCATGCCGCCCCGGCTCCCCACACCACCAGGAATGACGCTCGAGCACCAAGCTGGGAGTAGTCCCTGAGCACCCCCAGGTGTACCCCTAAATCAATGAAGGGAAGTGCCAAGGGGCTGAGGTGATAGCACAGCAGGTAGGGCATTTGCCTTGCACGCGGCCAACCCGGATTCGATTCGCAGCATCCCGTGCGATCCTCCGAGCACCGCCAGGAGGAATTCCTGAGTACAGAGTCAGGAGTAACCCCTGTGCAAAGCTGGGTGTGACCCAAAATGCTAAAGAAAAAAAAAAGGGAAAAAAAGGTGTGTCAGGAGGGCCGGAGAGACAAGACAGGAGGTAGGGCACTTGCCTTGCGGGCCACCAGCCCTGTTTCAAGCCCCAACACGGCTGCAGTGCCCTGAGCCCCACCAGCCTGATCCCTGAGCGCACAGCCAAAAGGAAGCGCTGAGCACGGCCCGGTGTGACCGCCCGCCAAACCAGCCAAGTGTCAGGATCCCACTTTGCTGACGGACTGAGCTGCCCTCGGGACTCTGGCGTGGGAGGCTTCTCTGCACACACATTCGGTGGCGGCAAGAAGCACGTAGAGAGCAAAGCCACACCTTGGCGCCTGGTCCTGTCTGTCTCGGGGACAGCAGGACCAGAGAACACAGGAGGGTCCTGCCAAAAGTACCTGCAGGGCTGACCCGTTTTTCACGGGCTGGCCAGGGCGAGCTGCCGGGCCTCCAGCCCAAGGCCCAGACCATGAGCTGGAGGCCGCCCCCAGATGCTGCCAGGGTGTAGCCGGCCCAGGGCGGGGCCACACTGGGGCCTGTGACTCATTGCCTTGTCGTGTCCAGCCAACTGTCTCCTCCCAGCTCCCTGGTCTCCCCAAGGGCCAGGCCAGAACTGAAGTCCATTTCCCTGCCCTTTGACCAATTCTTTGTTTTCTTCTTTTTCATGAGCTCCCAGCACAATCCATGCACAGGGATTGTTCCAGGTGGGGCTCGAGGAACTGGATACTGGTGCCAGGGGATGAACCTGGCTTGGCCTCAAGCTAGGCGAGGGCCTTAACCCATGTACTTTCTCTCTCCAGCCCTAATGGTGATTTCAGAGGGTGAAGGGAAGAGCAAACATAGAGACACATGCCTACACAAGAACACATATGTCCAGAAAGGGGACCCCCAGAGGCCACGCAAAATATGGAAATGAGACAAATGCATGCTGCAGGGCTTGAGAGCGCCCCGGCACTGCTGGGTGTGCCCCAAACCCAGCGCCAGGGGTACGTAAGGCCACGTCAGTCCGACCTTAACTCAACCCCCAGCACCAAGTAGGGTCACTCCTAAGCTATGACAAGCCCCCGCGCGCTGCCGGATGTGGCTTAAACCCCTTACCCCACCAAAAACTCTCAACCCAAAGTAGGGCTGGAGAAATAGTACAGAGGGTTAGGCGCCTACCCACACACAGCCAACCTGGCACCACGTACCATAACCCGAGTCCCACCAGGTGTGAGCCCTGAGTGCAGAACCAGACACCCAGACACCTCTGGGTGTCACCCAAAAACCAAATAATAAGATGGCCAGAGTCATAGTGTAACAGGTAGGGTGCTGGCTTTGCATGCGGTCAACCCAGGTTCAATCCCCGACACCCCATACGGTCCCCTGAACCCCACCAGGAATGACCTCTGAGTTATCTTCAGGTGTGGCCCAAGAACCAATAAAGAAAAACACCCCCCCGCTCCTTGTGGATGCTGAGTGTTGGTCATCACGGAGAGGGGTCAGCTCTGACCAGGAACTCAGGAAGAGCCTGTCCCGGGGGCAGGGGGAAAGGCTGGGCATGGGAAGTCCTTTCTCTCTGCAGGAAATGCATCAGCCAAGGGCCCACAGAGGACGTTGTGCAGAGCTGGGGGTGAAGACGCACCCCGGGCTCACGGGGGACAGAGGGCCAGACGAGCAATATGGAGATGCCACATGGCTGGTGGGAGGCAGCCACCCGTCTGCTAGCAGGCCTTGCTCGCCAACTGTGGTGGGCACAGTCTCCCCGCGAGAGCCGGGAGCTGGGCCCAAGGGCTGGAGCAGCCACAGGCTCAGCAGTGGCAAAGCAGCTGCCTTGCATGTAAGTTTAAACCCCAGTGCGCTGCCACACAGAAGGAAAAAAGAAAAAAAAAAAACCAAAGAAAAGGGCTAGAGCAGGCCCGGCACGTACTGGCATGCACAGGCCATGTTTTATGGTCCAGTCCCAGCACCACATGAGCCCTGAGCACGCCCAGCGCGGTCCCAGCAGCCCCACACGGTCCCACCTCCTTGTCGGTGGTCTGAGTGAGCTTTAATAAAAACTTTCCTGATTCTGTCTGTCCCTCCCCAGTGGCACCAGGACAGGGTGACACAGTGCAGTGCTCGGAGGGTGGCTCCCCTCCTCCCAGCAAGGTCAAGTCAAGGATGGGGCTGGCTGTCTCGGCACTGTGGCTCCCAGGAGGCCTTCTGCGTCACAGGCGTGACCAGAGCCGGGGCAGAATGGGGTCTGGTCCCAGGGGCAGGTGGGGACGGAGTCAGCTCTCGCCTGTGCGTCTACTTGGAACAGCTTCCTGGGGCTGCAGCCCAGCTTGGGGGTGGTGGGGTGAGGCTTCTGGCCCAAGTCTCTGGGGAAACCTGCTGGGCTCAGGTCTGGAGCCCAGAAGGGCAGGGACGGACAGGGCTGTTCAGGAAGACGGGGACGGCGTCAGGTAGTTACCGACCAGTGAGAGTGGGCAGCATCTCTCCACTGGTCCAGAGCACCGAGAAGGCCTGGCCAAGGAGGTGAGCTCTGCCGCGGGCCTGTGGGCTAGACGCAGTGATGGCCCCGGCTGAGGCCACTCCAAGAGCAAATGAGAGGTCCAGAGTCCGGAGACGGCACCAGGATCCTGGGCACCTGGTGTCCCCATGGCTGCTGCGCAGTGTTGCTGACGAAGAGGACAGGTTCCGAGGCGGCCAGTTAGGGATCGACGAAGGAGACAGCAATGTAGCGGGTGCCCTTGGTCGTGGGGAGCCCCTCGTGGTAGTGCGTGAGTCTCCCCGGGTGCATTAGGGTCCAGCCTTTCCGTGGGGCTCGGACAGAGCAGTTGTAACGCAGGAACCGACAGCCCCCGCCCTGGAAAACAGGAAGAGTCAATTCCCCGACAGGAAGTGTCCATCCTTCAACAGGAAGACCTTCTCCCCGGCTCCTTATCCTGTCCGACCCACCATGGCCAGGCAGCCCTCAGCGTACTAGCCCAGAGATGATTCCTGTGGAGTCAGGCTGCCTGGGATACGGTCAGCTACCCTCATGACTAACCTATAAACAACCCAGGCCTCAGTTTCCCCTTCTGGAAAATAGGCATGAAACTGAAGAAAGAAAAGTTAATGAGGTGCCAGAGCGCTTGCCTTGTTACATGTCTGACACATGCTTGATCCCCAGCACTCCAGGTGTTTCCTGGAGCCCACCCGGAGTGATTCCTGAGCAAAGAGCCAAGAGTACGCCCTAAGAACTGCTGGCTTTGGTCCCCTCCAGAAAAAAAAACAACAACAATGTAGAAGGCCGCAGCGATAGTACCGCATGTTGCCTTGCACACGCTGACCCCAATCTCCGGCATCCCTTATGGACCCCGAGTACCACCAGGAGAAATTCCTGGGTGCAGAGCCAGGAGTAATCCTTGAGTACTGCCAGGTGTGGCCCCAACACCAAATTACAGAAATAAGTAAAATTAAAATATAGAAATTAATGATACAAGAACTTAGGGTTGCATCTTTCAACCTCAGTGCATTTCTGACAGATTTTTTTTTCTTTTTTTTTCTTTTTGGGTCACAGCCAGCGATGTTCAGGGGTTACTTCTGGCTCTGCACTCAGGAATTACTCCTGGCGGTGCTTGGGGGTCCATATGGGATGCTGGGGATTGAACCTGGGTCTGCTGCGTGCAAGGCAAACGCCCTACCCGCTGGTGGTGCTGGGGGCTGGTGTCACTCAGGCCCCTTTGCCAGATTTTTCAACAGTGGTAAAGTACACATAATGTGAATTTTACCACGTAACTATTTTTCAGTGTACTGTTCTGTGACAGTTATTATACTCAATTCTGAGTGTCAATGATGCCATGGTGCAGCATCACTACCTAGAGCAGACAGTCCTGACATCTCTGGGTGCTGCTCACTAGGAATCAGTCAGCTCCATCCTCTTTTCGGTTTCGTTTTGTTTGTGTGTGTGTGTTGGAGACCCTCTCTGGCAGTGCTCAGGGCTTACTCTTGGCTCTGTGCTCAAGGATCACTCCTGGCAAGGTGCGGGGGACCACATGGGGTGCCAGAGATAGAATCTGGGTCGGCTGTGTGCAGGGCAAGTGCCCTGCCTGCTGTACTGTCTCTCAGGTCCATTTCTGTAACAATTATGTTACAATATCCGAGGTGCCTATATATCTTTTTTAAAATTTATTTTTTAATTTTTCTGGTTTGGGGGCCACACCCAGTGGTGCTCAGGGCTTACTTCTGGCTCGGTATTCAGGGATCACTCCTGGCGTGCTTGGGGGACACTATGGGGTGCCGGGAATCCAACCTGGACCTGCCACGTGCAAGGTAAACGGCCTACTGCTGTGCTATCGTTCCAGTCCTGGAAGAGCCTTTAGATATTGCCCTTTTCTCCTGGGGGGTAAACTCAACCCACAGGAAGTCCCTGAGCAAAGACAATAAGTGCTCAAAAAATGAAAAGTTGGGGCTGGAGCAATAGCCCAGCAGGTAGGGCGTTTGCCTTGTACGCGGCCGACCCGGGTTTGATTCCCAACGACCCATTATGGTCCCCTGGGTACCGCCAGGAGTAATTCCTGAGTACATGAGCAAGAAGTAACCCCTGTGCATTGCTGGGTATGACTCAAAAAGCAAAAAAAAAAAAAAAAAAAAGAAAAGAAAAGCTGTGAGACAGTAAAGAGAGTCCAAAGGCTGAGTGCAGGAGTCACATGTGGGAGGCCCAGGATCCATCCCCGGAACCACATGGTCCCTGAGCCCCACCCCAAGCCCTAAAATGGGAGCATCCCCCTGTAGGTTATGTCCAGAAAAAAGGAGGGTTTGGGCTACCCCAGGGGTCCTCAGGGGACACTCCTGGCTCTATGCTAAGGGATCACTCCTAGTGGTGCTCAGAGGGCTTGAACCCAGTCAGCCGCATGCAAAAACAAGCACCTTATCCCCTGATCTCTCTCTCCTGCCCCTGTACAGTTGGTTTCGTTTTGTTTCTGGGTGCTGACCACATTTAGCAGTGCCTGTGGCTTATTCCCGCTCTGGACTCAGGGATCTCTCCTGGCAGGGCTAACAGGGTTTGGCCTCTGGCAAGGCAAGCACCTTAACCCCTGTACTGTCGCTTTGTCCCTGGAGATGCATTTTTTTGTGAGGGCGGGCGCCACACCTGGTGGTGCTGGGGGCTAACTCCTGCTCACTCCTGCTCTGCACTCGGCACCCCCTCAAGGATCAGAGGCCCCAAGTGGGTGCTAGAGATTGAGCCTGGGTCAGCTGCCGCTCTACAAAGCGCCTTCCCCACTGTGCTATCTCTCAGCCCTGTATATCTGTCTTTGTAGGTGTCCTTCACAAGAACTAGATGGGGGCCGGAGTGACAGGACAGCGAGCAGGGTGTTTTTCTTGCACGCGGCCGAACCAGGTTCGATTCCCAGCATCCCATATGGTTCCCCAAGCATCACCAGGAATCATTCCTGAGTGCAGAGCCAGGAGTAACCCCTGAGCATCACTGGGTATGACCCAAAAATAAAAAAAGAGACCTAGAGGGTCAAGTCCCCAATAAAAACTTTTTAAAAAAATATAGCAGCTTAGGGGCTGGAATGATAGTACAGTGGGGAGGGCATTTGCCTTGCACGTGGCCAACCCAGGTTCGATTCCCTGCATCCCATATGGTCCCCCGAGCACCTCCAGGAGCGATTCCTGAGTGCCGAGCCAGTAGTAACCCCTGAGCATCACCGGGTGTGACCCAAAAAGCAAAAAAAAAGGAGTGAATCAATGAGTCAGGGCAAGGACCTGAGCTGACCACACCCGGATGTCTTTCTTAGGGCCCTGAGGCCCTGACCTGTGCTCCCTTTATGGGGTGTTCCTGGCTACCGCACCCCAGCCAGCCTGTCCTGCCCCACCCCTAAGGTGGCATCAGCTGCAAGAATAAGTCCCACATTCCTTATTACTCAGCTCCTTCTTCAAGAGCTGCAGGCCCAGGACCGCCATCCCCTGCCCTCCCTGAATCCCCACAAATCTACGGGGGAATGTTTGGGGTTTGCCCAGCTCAGAAACGCACACGTGGACGCTGCGAGACCCCTGAGCAGGCCGGGGGAGGCCTGGATCCACGTGGGGACGCCGTCTCCCACCTGCTTGTCCCCACCCAGCCCACACCCTGCCGGAAGGCCTCCGCCCTCTCCCGGCTCACCTCGTAATCCACCCCGACCCGGTTCAGGGCGATGTTGATGGTGAAGGTGGACGCATCGTGATGTGGCATCAGCGAGGGCTGCTCGTCTGGCTTGTAGCGGACAACAAAGGCCAGGTCGAACTGGGCCTGGACACGGGTGCAACAAGAGAACGGGGTGAGAGAGGGGCCGGGCGGGCCTGGCAGAAAGAGCCCCCCGAGGCCAGACAGGCTCGCCCCGTGTCCTCCCGCCTAGTGCAGTGCCTGGTGCAGAGAGAGGCAATGAGGCCGGGGGAGTTGCTCAGGGCAGAACACAGAACTGGAATGAATGCAGCCCGGGGTTCTGTCCTCGGCACGAATAACAGTGATGAGAACGGTGCTGCGGGCAGGGCAGATGGGAGGAAAGGGGCTTGGAGGGAGAAACAAGGAGGAGGAGAGGTGGGTATGAAACTCATCCTTTGGGCCCTTTGTTTAGTTTTGGGGGCACAGCCCTTAATGCTGGAGAATGGCTGCCAACTCTCTACTAGGGGGAGTCTCCCACTGGGGCTCAGGGGACCCTGAGATGCTGGGGGCTGAACCCAGGGCCTCCTGCACACAAATGCACACTAGCCATTAAGCCACCTCTCTGGGCCAGGACTTTGACAACTGTCCCAGCGGGTGACGCCCTACTGGCAGGAGCAGAGCAGGGCAGTGCAGGTCTAGAAAACCATGGCAACGAGGAAGTGAGGGGGGGAGGGGGAGAGAGACAGAGACAGAGAGAGGGAGAGACAGAGACAGAGAGCGAGAGGGGGAGAGACAGAGACAGAAACAGAGAGAGACAGAGACAGACAGACATACAGACAGGGCAGATGGAACTACAGAGAGACGGAGGGAGGGAATGAGGGAAGGGGCATGCTGGCCAGCTTAATGGGGCTGGTTTGGCAGGCTGGTGTAGGAGTGACTGAGGCGGGCATTAAGGAGGACAAGCAGGAAGAACGCAAAAGGATGCGGTGTAGACGAGAATCATCCTGGTGGGCTTGGACCAGAGGCTCCCCAGGGCCCCGCCCACCCGAGGCCCCGCCCCAGCACCACTGTCCCGCCTCCCGAGGCCCCACCCACATCCCTGAGCCCCGCCCCCGGCCGCCCCCAGCACCAACTATTACTAGGTCTCCCCCTCAAGCCCTCTGACCCCACGCCCCACCTCCCTGCCCTCGTCCAGGCCACTCCCCCCCAGGCATGCCCACCCTGGTGTAGTAGCCGGGATACAGCTTCTCGGTCATGGGCGCGATGTACTCCACCAGAAACTTGTGCCACTCCCGCTCAAAGCCGATCTGGTTCATGTGGATGTCGATGGTGGGCACGTTCTCGTACCCGCCCTGGATGCGGTTGTCCTGGGAGGGCCGGAGAAGGGGAGAATTCCAGATGCGCGCCCACCAGGCCTCAGATTCCTGCCACCTGTCTACAGGCTCTGCCCAAACCCATCCCCTTGGCCTGTGAATTTGACGGGGCCAGTGACAGGTTTTGCAGATATAATTTGCCAGTTGACCCAAAGGGACATTATTATGGGTGGGTCTGGACTATAAAGGACCGTCTTTGTCTGTGGTTGTTTTGGTTTGGGTGGGAGGGGGGTCACAGCTAATGGTGTTCCAGGGCCAGAGAGATAGCACAGTGGGTAGGGCACTTCTTTGCATGCAGCCCACCCAGGTTTAATCCTCATTATTTCATATGGCCCCCCGAGTCTCACCAGGAGTAATTCCTGAGTGCAGAGCCAGAAGTAAGCCCTGAGCATCGCCAGGTGTGGCCCCCAAACAAAACAAAAACAACAAAAACCCAGAGGGTGGTGTTCCGGGGTTCCTAACAGAGCTGGGGGGAAGAGGTGGGGACCATTAATGTTGAGGATGGAACCAGGCCTCACACACACACAAAGCTTGAGGAGTGCTCTCTTTCTCTCTGTCTCTGTCTCTCTCCCTGTCTCTCTGTCTCTGTCTCTCTTTCCCTGGAAGCAGCAGCTGTCGTCACCGTCAGTTCGACAGGTGCAAGGGCATGTACCCTGCTCCAAAGCCTGGGAGGGGTCCTGACCCCCAGGAGCCCCCGGCCCCACTAAGTCCTTAGCGGCAGGCTTGTGTGACCATGAGCGGAAGCCCAGCTAAGACACGCCTGCACTACTGACCCACGTTGCTGGGCGGGAAGTAAGTGGATCTGTGTCGTTGTTGCTATTGCTGCGGGTGGTGGGTGTGTGTGTGGGGGGAGCAAGCCAGCAGCACTCAGGGGCTGGGGAATGAATGTACAGGCCACAGGCGGGTCCTGCCACTGGAGCCTCCGCACTGACCAGACCCTAGCTGACCATGCACTGCCAGTCTCTGCATTGGAGATTAGCTTGGCCACTGAGGGCAAAGGCTGGGTCGGGAGGGAGAACTACACGGTACTCCAGATGCCGGGCCAAAGGTCAGCCGGGCCCAGGCACCCACAAGGGGGCCTGATCCACCTTTGAAGATGGCTCCGGGCCGGGGGTGGGGGCTGGATAGTACAGTGGGAAGGTGCTTGCCTTGCATGTGGCAGACCCAGGTTTGATCCCCGGCATCCTGTGAGGTCCCCCCAAGACCAGCAGGAGTGATTCCTGAGTGCACAGTCAAGAGTAAGTCCTGGGCACTGTCAGGTTTGACCCCCCAAACCAAAATAATTAAATAAAATTGAAAAATTAAAATGGCTCTTGAGGGAAGATGACTTTGGGGGGAACGAGAGAGATGTTATACTGAGTAACGCATTTGCCTTGCATCAAACTCCAGTTTGATCCCCAGCATCACATATGGTCCCCTGAGCCCCTCTAAGGTGTCACCCCGAGCACAGAGTCAGGAGTAATCCCAGAGCTCAGAAGGACAGACTGCAAGTTTTGCATGAGGAAGCCCCGAATCTGAGCTCAGGTACTACGCCCCCCAAACGCTGCCAGGAGCAAACCCCTGAACCCCAAGCCAGGAATGGCCCTAAGCATCCCCAGATGTTTTGTGCCCAAACACAAAATATAAAATTGGTTCCAGAACTTTCCGAGGTGAGTGCTTTATGGGATCCTGCCTGCCCGGGCCCACTGGCCCTGATGCCCACCACACCACTCACCCCTGTGCTCTGTGGGACTTGGCAAGAACTCGGCTCTCTGAGCTTCTGAAACCCACCCACTTTCCTGTGCCCATCCTGCGGGAAGGGAGTGGAACATTCCAGGGACAAGCAACGGAACAGAGAGGCTGATGGTCAGTGGCAGCACAGGCCGTGCCTCCAGGCCAGGCTCCTGATGGGCCCAGGTCCTCGGTCACTGTCGCTGAGCCCACCCAGAGCTCCAGGGTGGCGGGCAGCTTACGGAAAGAGCCCAGAAAGCAGACACGGGTAGAGGGGAGCCCCCGCCCACAGTCCAGCCCAGACATCGGGGTCTGCCTTGTCACCAGACACAGCCCAGACTCGGGGGCACACCTTGTTGTCACCCAGAGACCACTGGCCGTAGTGCTCCATTTCCTCCACCAGCTCGTCACAGGCCGTGTCCGTGAAGATGGGAAACCAGTAGACGTCGGGGCAAGGCTGGGAGAGCAGACACACAGTCACGGGGTGCAGAAGGGCACCCCCACCCCACCGCTCCCCGGCTCCCGCAGAGGCAGTGGCCAGAGGGCCCTGAGCGACTAAGCGCCCAGCCCTGGTCCTGCAGAAGGGATGGAAGGCCCCAAGGCCAGGAAGGACATTGCAGAGCAGAGATGCACAACACAGAGCCAGCAGAAGCTCCTGTCTCCACAACTGATCCATGCTCAGGGACTTTTCCCCCCTGCAGGGAAGTGTCCACGAGAGGGGCTCAGCAGCGCCCCCTGCAGGCGTCTGCACTCACCATCTCCACCAGCTTCCCCTCCAGGGCCCTGGTGTAGTTCTCGTGGATGTACTTTTCCTTCCAGTCCTGTGTGGAGCAGAGCACAGCTAGCAGCGTGGGCCTAGGCCAGCTGGGGCTCACCCCTCAGCCAACTCCAGGGTGCCCCAGGAGGAGGTTTCTCTCCCAAGACCCCCCAACCTCCGCACAATGTGAATGGATGAATGTGGGTTTGGGTTTGGGTAGCCAGGAGTACCTGTGCCCGCAGGAGCTGATGCCTGCACACGTGTGTACATGTGCACCCATGTACCTGTGTGTGGGGTTCAGGACACAGCCTGCCCGCAGGAGCTGGTGCCTGTACACATGTGTACCCATGTGCCTGTGTGCACAAGTCTCCATGCAAGTCTGTGTCTGCACCCACAGCCAACACAAGCTCTCAGGGGTAGGGGATATGGAAGAGCACATGCCTGCCTGCCCAACACTGGGCTTGACCCCAGTGCCATGTACCCCCACCAAGGACAGCCCTGGTGGTCACTGAACATCACCCAGAGGGACCCACAAATTAACAAATAAATAACATAAGCCCCAATGTTAGGACCACTGCCACATCCAGCTCTTCTTTCTCATGCCAACATCTCACTGGTGAGTCAGACTGGACGCCCATTTCAAGGCTGAGTCAACTGAGGCTGCAATGGCTCAGAACATGAGGCACAAATGCAGGTCTCGGGCTCCGGTCCCTCAGCCACTAAGTGGTGCTCTCTCTAACCCTCACCCTCACGTCACACTCCCCCATCAGCCACTAGGTGGCTTTTACCCTCATGCCTCATGGCACACACCCACATCAGCCACTAGGTGGCTCTCTGTCTCTAATCGTCATCCTCACGTCACACCCCCCCATCAGCCCCTAGGTGGCGCTGTCTCTGACCCTCACTTCACATACCACCATCAGCCACTAGGTGGCTCTGTCTCTAACCACCCTCACGTCACATACCCCCATCAGCCACTAGGTGGCACTGTCTCTCACCCTCACCTCACAACCCCATCAGCCACTAGGTGGCACTGTCTCTACATCACACACCCCACCAGCCACTAGATGTCCCTACATCAGCCACTAGATGTCCCTACATCAGCCACTAGATGTCTCTACATCACACACCCCACCAGCCACTAGGTGGTGCTGTCTCTAATCACTCTCACGTCACACACCACCATCAGCCACTAGGTGGCGCTGTCTCTAATCACTCTCACGTCACACACCCCATCAGCCACTAGGTGGCACTGTCTCTAATCATCACCCTACATCACACACCCCACCAGATGGCACTGTCTCTAACCCTCATCCTCACGTCACACCCCCCCATCAGCCACTAGGTGGCGCTGTCTCTAACCCTCACCTCGCACACCACCATCAGCCACTAGGTGGCACTGTCTCTAATCATCACCCTACATCACACACCCCCACCAGCCACTAGATGGCACTGTCTCTAACCCTCATCCTCACGTCACACCCCCCATCAGCCACTAGGTGGCGCTGTCTCTAACCCTCACCTCGCACACCACCATCAGCCACTAGGTGGCACTGTCTCTAATCATCACCCTACATCACACACCCCCACCAGCCACTAGATGGCACTGTCTCTAACCCTCATCCTCACGTCACACCCCCCATCAGCCACTAGGTGGTGCTGTCTCTAACCCTGACCCTCACATCTGCAGCCCCCCTTCCCACCAATCCTGCCCTGGGCCAGAGGAAGGTCAGAGGTCCAGGGGTCTCGGCCCCAGACCCTGAAAGGGAAGGGCTTGAGGCCCCAGGCTCTCTGAGAGTCCCTGCCCGCACACCCAGAGCCTCACCTCGGGGTTACTGAACACCTCCCAGAGGTCATTGTGGAGGTGGGTGGTCTGGTAACTGTCCAGGGAGAGCAGGTGGCCAAAGGCGTGCCGGTTGGTCAGGAAGAGGAACACGTCCTGCGGAGAGCAGCCTGTTGGGAGGGCGCTCCCCGCCCCACGCCCCCACCCACCCTCACCTCCACACCCCACAGGGGCCGCCCAGCCACCTCTGCCCACCAGGCACAACTCAGCTCTGGTTCTGGAAGGATCCCTGGGGCTTCCTGGGGGGTGACAATGGAGGAGCAGGGCCCAGGGGTGCAGTTCGGAGGCAGATGCCTGCCTGGAGGCACGAGGCTCCGAGCTGAGTCCCCAGCACCCATCGCCAGCTGGTGTGGGCACACGGGTGACCCCAGCCCTGCGACAGGAGAGCTGGTTCCGAAACTCTGGGCATGGCAGAAAGTGCCGCACTCACATTTTTTTTCCCCTTGGGGCAACACTCAGTGATGCTCAGAATTTATTCCTGGCTCAGCACTCTGGGATCGCTCCTGCTGGGGCTCGGGTGGGGGTCAAGCCCGGGTCTGCTGCACACAAGGCGAGAGCCCAACCCACTGTACCATCGCTCCGGCACCACTGTGGTCACATTTCACATGTATCTTTGGGGGGTTCTGGGGCCACCAGGATCACCCCTGGTGACATGAAGGGGACCCTATACGGTGCCAGGGTTCAAACCAGGCGTTGACCACAGGCAAGGCAGGTGCCTTAACTCCTGCATTATCAATCCGGTCACATTTTAGGGATTTTGCTTTGTTCTCTGTGTTGCTGTTTTGTTTTGGGGGGCCCCATCCAGCACTGCTCAGGGCTTACTCCTGGCAGGGCCCGGGGAACCACAGGGAGTGCTGGGCACTGAACCCAGGTTAGATGCATGCAAGGCATGTGCCCGACCACTGTGCTATTGCTCCGGCTTCCACAGGCACATTTTAAAACATCACCACACGGGGTGAAGATACAGTTCAGGGGCTGAACGCACACACGAGGCCTGAATGTGATGCCTGAGCACCCTGCCAGGAGCAGTTCCCCTAGGACAAGTGGGTGTGACCCCCCCAAAACAAAAGTCATGTTACAAAACTTTGCGCGGGCGAGATCCTCTCGGTAGCCTGCCGGGCTCTCCGAGAGGGGTGGAGGAATCGAACTTCAATATGCCAAACACAGTAACAAGTGTCACGATGGAGACGTTACTGGGCCCACTCGAGCAAATCCATGAACAACGGGAGGACAGTGACAGTGACAAAACTTTGCAGTGGGCGCAGGGAGATGCAAGGGTCTCTCTCAGGCAGGTCTTAGGGTGTGTTTAAAGGGAGATTCTGGGGCTGGAGCAATAGCACAGCGTGTAGGGTGTTTGCCTTGGATACGGCTGACCCAGGTTCGATCCCCAGCATCCCATATGGTCCCCCGAGCACCACCAGGAGTAATTCCTGAGTGCAGAGCCAGGAGTAACCCCTGTGCATTGCCGGGTGTGACCCCAAAAGCAAAATAAATAAATAAATAAAGGGAGATTCTTTGGGTGCGGTCAGAAAACACAGCAAACAGACAAGAGGCAAGTGGGCCCATCACGTGATCCCTTTAGCCCCCAGCGCAGCCCCCTTGCCTGGTACCTCCACAGGCCCAGGGAGCCCTTGAGCAGCCCCCCTGGGGTTTCAGGGCCCCCAGCCCCCCAGACCTGCTCCCGGATGTTGGCGCAGAAGGCCATGTCGGGGTCCAGCCTGCCGTGCTGGAACAGGGCCGCCTGCTGCAACTCGCCGCGCAGGGCGCTGCCCTTGATCAGGTAGACGCTGGAGATGTAGGGCACGTTCCAGACGCCGCTGCGGGGACAGGGGCAGATGAGGGGGGAACGGCGTGGGGTGGGGGAGGGGCGTCCCGTCCCGGGAGCACGGTCAGGGAGTGTCCTGGGGGGTGGCAGGGCTGGGTTGGGGGGGAGCGCACCCCCGGCACTCACACGCGCCGCCCCTGCACGATGTCCACGTAGTCCTCGGAGCGGGCGTAGTAGCCGTCGGCGCTCAGCGCCCCCCAGAAGTTGGACCACAGCCTCCCGGGGCGGCTCATCAAGGGGGCGATGACGTTCCTGAGTAGGGAGGGCGAGGAGGGGCCTGTAGGGGGCGGCCAGGAGCGGACGGGGGAGGGGGGCTGGCAGCGAGGAGCACACGATTGCACCACCCGGTCCCGGGACTGTCCAGGGCCCACCCAGGGGGCCAGCGCTGCCCACAGTGTGAAAGGCGGGGATGAGGAGGAGGGGGGAGGAGGAGGGGGGGAGGAGGAGGAGGAGGAGGAGGAGGAGGAGGGGGAGGAGGAGGAGGAGGAGAAGGGAGGAGGGGGGCGGAGGAGGAGGAGGAGCAGAAGGGTGGAGGCGGAGGAGGAAGAGGAGGAGCAGAAGGGAGGAGGTGGAGGAGGAGTAGGGCGGAGGAGGAGGAGGAGGAGAAGGGAGGAGGAGGGGGAGGAGGAGGGGGAGGAGGAGGAGGAAAAGGGAGGAGGAGGGCAGAGGAGTAGGGCGGAGGAGGAGGAGGAGAAGGAGGAGGAGGAGAAGGGAGGAGGAGGGGGAGGAGGAGGGGGAGGAGGAGGAGGAAAAGGGAGGAGGAGGAGGAGGGCGGAGGAGGAGAAGGAGGAGAAGGAGGAGGAGGAGGGGGAGGAGCAGAAGGGAGGAGGCGGAGGAGGAGGAGGAGGAGCAGAAGGGAGGAGGAGGAGGGGAGGAGGAGGAGGAGGAGGGCGACGGAGGAGGAAGAGGGGGGGTGGAGGAGGAGGAGGAGAAGGGAGGAGGGGGGCGGAGGAGGAGGAGGAGCAGAAGGGAGGAGGCGGAGGAGGAGGAGGAGGGCAGAGGAGTAGGGCAGAGGAGGAGGAGTAGAGCGGAGGAGGAGGAGTAAGGCGGAGGAAGAGGAGGAGGAGAAGGGAGGAGGAGGAGGGCAGAGGAGTAGGGCGGAGGAGGAGGAGGAGGGGTGGAGGAGGAGAAGGAGGAGGAGGAGGGGGAGGAGCAGAAGGGAGGAGGCGGAGGAGGAGGAGGGCGACGGAGGAGGAGGAGGAGGAGGAGGGCAACGGAGGAGGAGGAGGAGGAGGGGGGTGGAGGAGGAGGAGGAGGGGGGTGGAAGAGGAGGAGGAGAAGGGAGGAGGGGGGCGGAGGAGGAGGAGCAGAAGGGAGGAGGCGAAGGAGGAGGAGGAGGAGCAGAAGGGAGGAGGCAGAGGAGGAGGAGGAGAAGGGCGGAGGAGGAGGAGGAGGGCAGAGGAGGAGGAGGAGGGCAGAGGAGTAGGGCGGAGGAGGAGGAGGAGGAGAAGGGAGGAGGAGGAGGGCAGAGGAGTAGGGCGGAGGAGGAGGAGAAGGAGGAGGAGAAGGAGGAGGAGGAGGAGGAGGGGGAGAAGGAGGAGGAGGAGAAGGGAGGAGGAGGAGGGGAGGAGGAGGGGGAGGAGGAGGAGGGGGAGGAGCAGAAGGGAGGAGGAGGAGGAGCAGAAGGGAGGAGGCGGAGGAGGAGGAGGGGGAGGAGGGAGGAGGAGAGGGAGGAGGAGGAGGAGGGCAGAGGAGTAGGGCAGAGGAGGAGGAGGAGGAGGAGGAGAAGGGAAGAGGAGGAGGGCAGAGGAGTAGGGCGGAGGAGGAGGAGGAGGAGAAGGAGGAGGAGGAGGAGGGGGAGAAGGAGGAGGAGGGGGAGGAGCAGAAGGGAGGAGGCGGAGGAGGAGGAGGAGAAGGGAGGAGGCGGAGGAGGAGGAGCAGAAGGGAGGTGGAGGAGGAGGAGCAGAAGGGAGGAGGCGGAGGCAGAGGAGGAGGAGCAGAAGGGAGGAGGCGGAGGAGGAGGAGGAGCAGAAGGGAGGAGGCGGAGGAGGAGGAGGAGCAGAAGGGAGGAGGCAGAGGAGGAGAAGGAGAAGGAGCAGAAGGGAGGAGGCAGAGGAGGAGGAGTAGGGCGGAGGAGGAGGAGGAGGAGGGGAGGAGGAGGAGGAGGAGGAGGAAGAGGGCGATGGAGGAGGAGGAGGAGGAGAAGGAGGAGGAGGAGGGCGGAGGAGGAGGAGGAGGGGGGTGGAGGAGGAGGAGGAGAAGGGAGGAGGGGGGTGGAGGAGGAGGAGGAGCAGAAGGGAGGAGGCGGAGGAGGAGGAGGAGCAGAAGGGAGGACGCGGAGGCGGAGGAGGAGCAGAAGGGAGGAGGCGGAGGAGGAGGAGGAGGAGCAGAAGGGAGGAGGCGGAGGAGGAGGAGGAGCAGAAGGGAGGAGGCGGAGGAGGAGGAGGAGGAGGGCGGAGGAGGAGGAGGAGGAGGAGCAGAAGGGAGGAGGCGGAGGAGGAGGAGGAGGAGGGCGGAGGAGTAGGGCGGAGGAGGAGGAGGAGGGCGGAGGAGGAGGAGAAGGAGGAGGAGGAGAAGGAGGAGGAGGAGGGGGAGGAGGAGGAGGAGGAGGAGGAGCAGAAGGGAGGAGGCGGAGGAGGAGCAGAAGGGAGGAGGTGGAGGAGGAGGAGCAGAAGGGAGGAGGCAGAGGAGGAGGAGGAGAAGGAGCAGAAGGGAGGAGGCAGAGGAGGAGGAGGAGGAGAAGGAGCAGAAGGGAGGAGGCAGAGGAGGAGGAGGAGGAGAAGGAGCAGAAGGGAGGAGGCAGAGGAGGAGGAGGAGGAGAAGGAGCAGAAGGGAGGAGGCAGAGGAGGAGGAGGAGGAGAAGGAGCAGAAGGGAGGAGGCAGAGGAGGAGGAGGAGGAGAAGGAGCAGAAGGGAGGAGGCAGAGGAGGAGGAGGAGGAGAAGGAGCAGAAGGGAGGAGGCAGAGGAGGAGGAGGAGGAGAAGGAGCAGAAGGGAGGAGGCAGAGGAGGAGGAGGAGAAGGAGCAGAAGGGAGGAGGCAGAGGAGGAGGAGGAGGAGAAGGAGCAGAAGGGAGGAGGCAGAGGAGGAGGAGGAGGAGAAGGAGCAGAAGGGAGGAGGCAGAGGAGGAGGAGGAGGAGAAGGAGCAGAAGGGAGGAGGCAGAGGAGGAGGAGTAGGGCGGAGGAGGAGGAGGAGGGGAGGAGGAGGAGGAGGAGGAGGAGGAAGAGGGCGATGGAGGAGGAGGAGGAGGAGAAGGAGGAGGAGGAGGGGGGTGGAGGAGGAGGAGGAGAAGGGAGGAGGGGGGTGGAGGAGGAGGAGGAGGAGCAGAAGGGAGGAGGCGGAGGAGGAGGAGGAGCAGAAGGGAGGAGGCGGAGGCGGAGGAGGAGCAGAAGGGAGGAGGCGGAGGCGGAGGAGGAGGAGCAGAAGGGAGGAGGCGGAGGAGGAGGAGGAGGAGAAGGAGCAGAAGGGAGGAGGCAGAGGAGGAGGAGGAGGAGAAGGAGCAGAAGGGAGGAGGCAGAGGAGGAGGAGGAGGAGAAGGAGCAGAAGGGAGGAGGCAGAGGAGGAGGAGGAGGAGAAGGAGCAGAAGGGAGGAGGCAGAGGAGGAGGAGGAGGAGAAGGAGCAGAAGGGAGGAGGCAGAGGAGGAGGAGGAGGAGAAGGAGCAGAAGGGAGGAGGCAGAGGAGGAGGAGTAGGGCGGAGGAGGAGGAGGAGGGGAGGAGGAGGAGGAGGAGGAGGAGGAAGAGGGCGATGGAGGAGGAGGAGGAGGAGAAGGAGGAGGAGGAGGGGGGTGGAGGAGGAGGAGGAGAAGGGAGGAGGGGGGTGGAGGAGGAGGAGGAGGAGCAGAAGGGAGGAGGCGGAGGAGGAGGAGGAGCAGAAGGGAGGAGGCGGAGGCGGAGGAGGAGCAGAAGGGAGGAGGCGGAGGCGGAGGAGGAGGAGCAGAAGGGAGGAGGCGGAGGAGGAGGAGGAGCAGAAGGGAGGAGGCGGAGGAGGAGGAGGAGGGCGGAGGAGGAGGAGGAGGAGCAGAAGGGAGGAGGAGGGCGGAGGAGTAGGGCGGAGGAGGAGGAGTAGGGCGGAGGAGGAGGAGAAGGAGGAGGAGGAGGGGGAGGAGGAGGAGGAGGAGGAGGAGCAGAAGGGAGGAGGTGGAGGAGGAGGAGAAGGAGCAGAAGGGAGGAGGCGGCGGAGGAGGAGGAGGGCAGAGGAGGAGGAGGAGGAGGGCGGAGGAGGAGGAGGGCAGAGGAGTAGGGCGGAGGAGGAGGAGTAGGGCGGAGGAGGAGGAGAAGGAGGAGGAGGGGGAGGGGGAGGAGGAGGAGGAGGAGCAGAAGGGAGGAGGCGGAGGAGGAGGAGGAGGAGGGCGGAGGAGGAGGAGGAGGAGGAGCAGAAGGGAGGAGGCGGAGGAGGAGGAGGAGGGCGGAGGAGTAGGGCGGAGGAGGAGTAGGGCGGAGGAGGAGAAGGAGGAGGAGGAGGGGGAGGAGGAGGAGGAGGAGGAGCAGAAGGGAGGAGGCGGAGGAGGAGGAGAAGGAGCAGAAGGGAGGAGGCGGAGGAGGAGGAGGGCGGAGGAGGAGGAGGAGGAGGAGCAGAAGGGAGGAGGCGGAGGAGGAGGAGGAGGGCGGAGGAGTAGGGCGGAGGAGGAGTAGGGCGGAGGAGGAGGAGAAGGAGGAGGAGGAGGGGGAGGAGGAGGAGGAGGAGCAGAAGGGAGGAGGCGGAGGAGGAGGAGGGCGGAGGAGGAGGAGGAGGAGCAGAAGGGAGGAGGCGGAGGAGGAGGAGGAGGGCGGAGGAGTAGGGTGGAGGAGGAGTAGGGCGGAGGAGGAGAAGGAGGAGGAGGAGGGGGAGGAGGAGGAGGAGGAGGAGGAGCAGAAGGGAGGAGGCGGAGGAGGAGGAGAAGGAGCAGAAGGGAGGAGGCGGAGGAGGAGGAGGAGGGCGGAGGAGGAGGAGGAGGGCGGAGGAGGAGGAGGGCAGAGGAGTAGGGCGGAGGAGGAGGAGTAGGGCGGAGGAGGAGGAGAAGGAGGAGGAGGAGGGGGAGTGGGAGGGGGAGGAGGAGGAGGAGGAGGAGGAGCAGAAGGGAGGAGGCGGAGGAGGAGAAGGAGCAGAAGGGAGGAGGCGGAGGAGGAGGAGGAGGGCGGAGGAGGAGGAGGGGGAGGGGGAGGGGGAGGGGGAGGAGGAGGAGGAAGAGGGCGATGGAGGAGGAGGAGGAGGAGGAGAAGGAGGCGACCCAGCTCACTTGTTCTGCTCTATCAGCAGCCGCAGGGCTTTGGGCTCGGTCAGGGCCACGTCGGCGTCCAGGCTGAGGTAGTAGGTGCAGCCCCGGTCCTGCCGGCACAGGTCTCTGCAGGAAGGGGCGGGTCAGGGCGGGTGGGCAGTGCCCAGCCACGCCCACCAGGGACCCCCAGCCTGGGGCCAGGGGCTTGGGGTATTTTTGTTTTCTGTTTTTGCTTTTTGGGTGATACCCGGCGATGCTCAGGGGTTCCTCCTGGCTCTGCATCAGGAATCGCTCCTGGCAGTGCTCGGGGGACCAGATGGGATTCCGAGGATCAACGGTTCTGCAGAAAGAGCACTTGCCGGGCGCGCGGCCGACCTGGCGCCGCAGATGGTCCCCCAAGCACCGGAAGGTGTGATCCTGAGCACAGAGGCAGGAGTAAACCCTGAGCACGGCCTGGGGTCGCTCCAAAATTAAACAAAACAAAACAACGCGGTGCCAGAGAGTTAGGACAATGGGCATCACTCCCAAATAAAAAATAAAGTATTTTTCTAGGTCTGGGGAGACAGAGCCACAGGCTGGGGCTCCCACTCTGTCCCGGAGGGAGCCCAGAGCGGTCGGAGCAGCCCTGAGCACCGGCACGTCTGGCCCCCAATAGAAACAGACACAAAACTCACACTCAGTGTTGTTATACAAAACCCCAAGATTTTGCTGTTTTTGTTTGTTCGTTCACTCAGGCCCTGGCAGTGCTGGCACATCTGTGAGGCCGAGCCCACGGCAGCAATACACGTGGACCAAGGAAGGCCTGGTCCCGCCTGGGAGCCCAGTCACCCGCCCCAGGACGAGCGTCTGATTCTGCGGTGATCGCGTCACGCGTGTTCCAATGATGAGGGACAGCGGGCGTGTCTCCAGAGGTCACTCCCTCGTCCAGCCTCTCCTTCCGCTAAGGACCTCTGGCTTGCGGACCGTCACCCTCTAACAGCGGGAGGCTGAGGTCCAGGGAGGCTCAGGACCTTGCTGGGGACCTCACTGACCCCGTGCGCCCAGCCCCGCAGCCCCAACTCACGCGCCCATGTTCCTGGCCTCAGCGCTGGACAGCCGCACCTCGGGACCCGCCAGCTTCACTGACCGGAAGTCGCCGCCGTGCTCGGCCAGGAAGCTTTCCACCTGAGACTTGTGGTGCTGCTCCTGGGGAGGGGGTTTGGGGACACGGGGTCCGTGCGGGAGCCAGGCCTGCTCCCATGGGCCGCTCCATTCCTCGTGCGGCCCGCAACCTGCCGCCCGCACCCGGGACTGTCCCCTCGCCCATCACTGTCCCTCCTGTGCCCGTGCTCCTGACCCTCAGGTGTCTGTGCTCCTCTCTTGTGCCTGTGCTCCCATCCCTCCTGTGTCTGTGCTCCCGTCCCTCCCCTGACCATGCTCCCATCCCTCCTGTGACAGTGCTCCCATCCTTCCCCAGACTGTGCTCCCGTCCCTCCCCAGACTGTGCTCACATCCCTCCGACTGTGCTCCCATCCCTCCCCAGACTGTGCTCCTGTCCTTCCCCTAACCGTGCTCCCATCCCTCCCCGGACTGTGCTCCCGTCCCTCCCCTGACCGTGCTCCCGTTCCTCCTGCAACTGCGATCCCATTCTGTCCCTAACCGTGCTCCCATCCGCCCCGTGACTGTGCTCCCCTATCGAGGCTGGGTTGTGCTTTCCCAGGACTGCCCATCACGGACGGCAGCTCCCACGGGCCAAGCTGTTGACTCTGCGACCCGGGGCCGTGGCAGGGACGGTCTGGCTCTCGCTCACTCCAGATGAGCCCTGGGCCTCACTCCGGAAAAGCTACAGTCCCCACCTGGGCCTGCAGAACCGGCCCAGAAGAGGATTTGGGGAGCTCCAGGCTGCAGGCACGGTGGGGAGGGCTGGGCAGTGGCTGCCAGGACAGACCTGGGTGTGCCACGCCCTACCCTGGGCGGCCCGGCCACCGGCTGTGCCCTTTGAAATGAAACTAGAATGACTGCGCTCTGCACTCATCTTCAGGGTAGACACAGTTCACGACTATACCCAGCAACGGCCGACTTGAGGGCCAGGAGGGCTGGAAGCCTGCTACAGGGGCGGGGGGGGGTGCAGTTAGGGCAGAGAAAAGGGCCACGACAATGAGGGTCGGAAATGGTCACTCTGGACAAAAACTGAGCACTGAGAGGAGGTAAAGGTAACCCTTCAGCACCTGTATTACACACCATGAAGCCCACAAGGAAAGAGAGAGACAGAGACTGAGAGAGACGACAGAGAGAGAGACGAAGAGAGACCGAGAGAGGTGTCTGCCTTAGAGGCAGGCTGGCGGGAGTGGGGCAGGAGGGAAACTGAGGACACTGATGTGGGAAATGACAGTGAAGGGACGGGCATTGGAACACTGCGTGACTAAAGCCCACTCACGAACAACTTTGTAACTGTGCATCTCACGGTGATTCAATAAAAAGTTTAAAAAATTAAAAAACTGGACCTGGAGCAATAGCACAGCGGGTAGGGCATTTGCCTTGCACGCGGCCGACCCAGGTTCAATCCCCAGCATCCCATATGGTCCCCCAAGCACCACCAGGAGTAATTCCTGAGTGCAGAGCCAGGAGTGACCCTTGTGCATTGCCAGGTGTGACCCCAAAAGCAAAAAAAATAATAATTAAAAAATAAGTAAAATAAAATAAACCCTCAAGGGGCCAGATATAGTATAGTGGGGGGGGGGGGGCTTGCCTTACATCCCCGGCATCCCATATGGTCTTCTGAGCACCATGGGGAGTGATTCCTGAGCGCAGAGCCAGGAGTAGCCCCTGAGCACTGCTGGGTGTGACCCCAAAACCAAAATAAATAAATAAACCCATTATCAAGCAGCGAAAGGCTACTGAAAGTTCTGCCAACCACGCAGGCAAATCACTTGTTACCCGCTGTGCTATCGCTCCAGCCCTATTATTATACAAATGACTTTTTTGTGGGTCAGGAGAGACATTATAGTGGTTAAGGCACAACCAACCCAGATTCGATCCCCGGCACCCCCTTGCGGTCCCGTGAGGACCACCAGGAATGGTTCTGGAGTGCAGAGCCAGGAGTAAGTCCAAAACAAACAAAACCCAAGGGATAGGTTTTTGCAAGGCAGGGAACTGAACCCAGAGCCTCCCATTTGCAAAGCCCTGGGCACCCACGGCACCTGTCTCTTCTTCAAAAGCCCACGGCCGCTCCTGGCATCTCAAGGTCTGCCGTTAGGCTTGACCTTGGCGCTGCTGGGGCACCACCAGCCACACCCTGAACCAGGCCCCCACTCAGCACCGTCCCCTGCAATGCGGCTGCCGCTGAACCGTCTCTGGCGACCTCAGCCACCTAAGGGGGCCTGGGAAACCACTGATGTCCGCCCCTCAGTGAGAACAAGCCCATTGGCGCTGGGCACCCCTGGGCCCCTGGCAGGAGACCCTGAGATGGGGCTGGGCTCTGAGCAGATGCTCCAAGCGCCAGAGAGCAGGACGCAGCCCCGTCTGCGCAGCTGACCAGCACACGCTGTTCAGCCCGTGACGGCCAGCACGGGGCAGAGTGCGCTCCTCCAGGACCTGGCTGGACAGACACTGGGCACTGAGGCTCAGGGGCTGGGACATGAGAGGGTGAGCACTCACGCTGGACAGGACCGCACCAGCGTCCCCAGGGACAGTGCATGGACAATTGTTTTGGTTTCTGTTTCAGATCCACACCTGGTGAAGCTCAGGGCTGACTCCTAGCTTTGCACTTGGGAATCACTCCTGGCGCGGCTCAGGGGGCCATATGGGATGCTGGGGATGGAATCCTGGTTGACCGCGTGCTAGACAAACGCCCTTCCCACTCACCTATCGCTCGGGCCCCAGTGTTCGTTTTTCTTTGGGATCCTGGGAAAGGGGGTGATGCTGCCAGTACCCACCTTCCCCTTTATTCTGCCTGACGCAACGGTGATAGCAGGGCCTCAGACAAAGGTCCCAGAAACAAAAAATGTGTCCTTTTTTTGGTTTGTTCTTAGGGTCACACCCGGCAGTGCTCAGGTAGTGCTTACTCCTGGTTCTGGGCTCAGGGATCACTCCTGGCGATGCTCAGAGAGCACATGCAGTGCCCAGGATTGAACCCAGGTCAGCCATATTCTGAACCCACGAGAAGCGGCCCCTCAGTGAAGAGCCAGGAGTAAGCCCTGGGCACAGCTAGGTGTGACCCCCCCAAAAAAAAATAGAAAGGAAGAAAAGAAAGAAAGAAGAGAGGGCTGAAGGGGCTGAAACAATAGCACAGTGGGTAGGGCGTTTGCCTTGCACGCAGCCAACATGGCCAACACAGGTTCGATTCCCAGCATCCCATATGGTCCCCCGAGCACCGCCAGGAGTGATTCCTGAGTGCATGAGCCAGGAGTAACCCCTGAGCATCGCTGGGTGTGACCCAAAAAGAAAAAAAAAAGAAGAGGGGGCTGGAGCGATAGCACACCAGGTAGGGTGTTTGCCTTGCATGCGGCTGACCCGAGTCGATTCCCAGCATCCCATATGGTCCCCCGAGCACCGCCAGAAGTAATTCCTGAGCACATGAGTCAGGAGTAACCCCTATGCAACACTGGGTGTGACCCAAAAGAGGAAAAAAAAAGAAAGGAAAGAAGGACTTTATCTGAGTGGCCCCACCTTGCATGACCAGGAGGATCGTGCAGGCTGGGGGTACACCTGTCAGACTGGCAGGGCTGCACAGAGGCTGAACCCAGGAGCAACGGCTCCGGTATGAGAAAGCCAGAGAGAAGCCAAAGAAGAACATGAGCAAATGGCCAGTGTAAGGCACACTCATGCTTCAGAGAGCCTCAGAGGGCTGAAGAGACAGTCCAGGGGCTAAGACACTGGCCTTGCCTGCGGCTGTGGTGGCCAAAACTGGTTCGAATCCCGGCGTCACATCTGATGCTCCAGCACCACCAGGGGTCACCCCTGAGCACAGAGCCAGGAATAGCCCCAGAGAGCACTATTGCCACGTTTCAAAATTTAATTAAATTAAAAGAGTCCCAGAGGAGCTGGAGCAGTAGGACAGCAGGAAGGGCATTTGCCTTGCACGTGACTGACCCAGGTTTGATTATTCCCAGCATCCCATATGGTCCCCTGAGCACTGCCGGGAGTAATTCCTGAGTGCAGAGCCAGGAGGAACCCCTGAGCATCGCCAGGTGTGACCCGAAAAGCAAGAAGTAAAATCAAATAAAAAAGAGGCCCAGAGCTTAAGTAATGGTGCTGGGATGTCGGGTGCTGGGGTGGAGGGACACAGGGTTCTGCAGCCCACACCCCTCGGGCCCGGAGCAGGGGAAGCTGACAGGTCACGGGAAAGCAACCAGCCAATGCTCCAGCTCTGCTGTCACAGCGGGGAGGCTCTGGGCGTGTCCTGGGTGGGCGGGTCACCAGGGTGAGCTGGGGGGTGGGGAGAATCTGGACTCCCCTTTGTCCTGAGAAGGACAGCAGGCTTCAGAGGGTGAACAACTGCTCCTGGGGACCAGAGGCGGCCCCCATTAAACCCCCAGAGAACAGTTCTTGGGAGTCGCAGGGCTGCGGCTGGCAGGGAACGTGGGGCGAGTCATGCCTCTCCCACGACCCCTGCACCCAAGGGTTCCTCCAGGGGTCTTCCTGAAGCAGATCTCTTTTGCTCTGGTTTGGTTTTTGTGCCACACCTGGCGATGCTCACGGGTTACTCCTGGCTCTGCACTCAGGGTACCCTATGGGATACTGGAGATCTGACTCGGGTCTGTTGCATGTTAAGGCAAGTGCCCTACCCACTGGACCATCATTCTGGCCCCTGAAGTGTATCTCTTTACAATAACCCGGTTTCTCTGAGGTCTGTGAGCTGCTTGGACAAAGGAATAGCGCCAGACAGGGTCTTGGGGGTCCTCTTGCTCTGTAGCTCCCAGACCCCCAGGAGCAGGGGTGGCAGCCTCAGGAGCGGAACTGCCTGTGGGCCTGCACCCTGCTCTGCAGGCTCAAAGGTGACCTCTAGGCAGACAGTCTAACGCAGCGCCAGTGAACTGCTTGTCCTCCACAAGTGCCCCCATATTGAAAACTTCTCAGAATCTCCAAGGACAGACACGACTGACAGAAGCCGAGGCGCCTCCCAAAGTCAGGAACCTGACTTGCTGCAGGTCTCGACTTGTGAGTCCCATCATCTATCATTCCTACTAACAGAGCAAACAGCCCAGAGAGGTTGGGACACAAGCCCTAAGTCACACAGCCAAGACAAGCACAGCTGCAGAGCCCACTGCCCACTTCCACGTGGCCCAGCTAACCGGGTCCAGTTTCTTAGAGGCCTCTGGTGCCATCCCCACAGCCACACCTCACAACCAACCATCACCCCCCCAAGCACCCACCACTCACATTGTTGTGGATGAAAAGCCGCATCTGCTTCCGGGGGTAGTGGAGGCGCAGGAGCCGCTGGAAGAACAGGGAGAGGAACGGCGTGGGCTGCTCGATGAACACGCCAACCAGCACTGTGGGCAGAGCTTCATCCTGCAGGAGGGAGCACACGAGAGTCCCACACTGTCCAGCCAGGAGGGGGCACCTGAAGTCATGCACTGTCCAGCCACAAGGGGGCACACAAGAGTCCCACACTGTCCAACCAGGAGGGAGTGCACAAATTACACACTGTCCAGCCACAAGGGGGCGCACAAGAGTCCCACACTGTCCAACCAAGGAGTGCCCAAGTCACACACTGTCCAGCCACGAGGGGGGTGCATGAGAGTACCACACTGTACAGTCACTAGGGGGCGCACAAGAGTCGCACACTGTACAGCCATGAGGGGGTACACAAGAGTCTCGCCCTGTACAACCACTAGGAGGCCCATAAGAGTCCTGCACTGTGCAATCACTAGGGGGTGCACAAGAGTCCCACACTGTACAGCCACTAGGGGGCGTACAAGAGCCCCACACGGTCCAGCCACAAGGGGGGCGCACAAGAGTCCCTTCACTGTACAGCCACTGGGGGGCATACAAGAGTTGCACACTGTCCAACACAAGGGGCACGCAAGAGTCCGGCCCTCTACAGCCACTAGGGGGCACGCAAGATTCCCGCCCGCTACAGCCACTAGGGGGCGCGCAGAAATTCCACCCTCTATAGCCACTAGGGGGCGCACAAAAGTCCGGCCCTTTACAGCCACTAGGGGGCGCACAAGAGTTCCTGCACTGTACAGCCATTGGGGGGGCATACAAGAGTCACACACTGTCCAACCACAAGGGGCGTGCAAGAGTCCGGCCCTCTACAGCCACTAGGGGACGCGCAAGAGTCCCGCCCTCTGCAGCCACTAGGGGGCGCGCAAGAGTCCCGCCCTCTGCAGCCACTAGGGGGCGCGCAAGAGTCCCGCCCTCTGCAGCCACTAGGGGGCGCGCAAGAGTCCCGCCCTCTGCAGCCACTAGGGGGCGCGCAAGAGTCCCGCCCTCTACAGCCACTAGGGGGCGCGCAAGAGTCCCGCCCTCTACAGCCACTAGGGGGCGCGCAAGAGTCCCGCCCGCTACAGCCACTAGGGGGCGCACAAGAGTTCCTGCACTGTACAGCCACTGGGGGGGCATACAAGAGTCACACACTGTCCAACCACAAGGGGCGTGCAAGAGTCCGGCCCTCTATAGCCACTAGGGGGCGCGCAAGAGTCCAGCCCTCTGCGGCCACTAGGGGGCGCGCAAGAGTCTGGCCCTCTACACCACTGAGCAGGGACTGAGTCTGCAGAGGGCCTGACCAGGGGGCTGTGGGCTGGGCAGGGGAAACAGTGACTGGGTCCCCATGAGGGGTGGGGAGCGGCAGCTGGGGGCCTGCAGGGGAACCAGAAACTGTAAGACCTGGGCTGGGTCAAGTGCTTTAGGGGTGGGGGGGGAGCCGGAGCCACGCACTCTGAGAGGGCTTCTAGGAGGTGGCGGCCGGGAGTGGAGGGGAATAGAGCCCCACACAGGGAGGTGACACCCCTCCCTTTTGTTTTCATTTTTGTTTTGGGGACACACCCCGCAATATTGAGGGATCACTCCTGGCGGTGCTCGAGGGACCCCATGGGGTGCCGGGGGCCAACCCCGGGTCGGCTGTGTGCCAGGCTAACCCGCCACCTGATGCACTGTCGCTCTGGCCCCAAGGGAGGCGACCCTTTACCTCCTACCGAGACGACGGTGGCCCGACACTCCCAGCCCAGCCAGGCAGCGCCCGCAGCCGCTCACCCCGATGCCTTTGAGGCTCCGCAGACCCTCGTCACACACCACGCAGCCCGTCTCGAAGGTCCAGAAGCGCGGCACGTAGTTGGCCAGGTAGTTCAGCTGCAGCTGCGGGGACACAGGGCTGAGAGGGGCCCGCCAGCCCCCCCACGGCGCCCGCCACCCCAGCGGTCAGCAGCCCTGGGGGAGAGCGAGGCTCCATTCCCCAGGCGGACCTTGGGCGGGGAGAACAAGGTGCTGCTGGAGACCCCAAAGCCGCCCCATCAAGGCAAAGAGAGGGGACCCTCCCTGCACTCCCTCTCGGGTGCTCCCCGGGCCTGTGACCCAGTTGGCTTGAGACCTGCCCCCATGTGCCCCTGTCCCTGCCGAGGTTCCAGGAGCACAGGCCAGTCTGTCCCTCATGGCCGGAGCAGACGCTGCAGTGACCAAGGGCAGCCCTGCAAGGCCTGACGTCCTGGGGTCCAGCAGGCGGGAACAGAGAGTGCATCAGTGACCCCCCCAGAGAGCGACAAAGGCGCCAAGGGAGCCCCCATGAGGTCAGAGGCGGCCTAGCCAGGAACAGTGGGGGCAGCAGGACGGGGGCGCTGCCTACCTTGGTGGGCCCGTTGCCGTGGATGAGGACGGGCAGCGTGTCGTAGGCCAGGTTCCGCGCCCTCACGTGGCCCTTCTCAAACTTGAGCACCACCTCATCTGGGAGGCGGAGGAACGGCCGGTCACAGTCCCGGAGGCCACAGGCAGGAGCCCTGACCTCTCAGCCCAGTGTGTCACCCGGAAACAGGGTGGGGGGGAAGAACCTGGGGAGGGGGTCAGAGACTGCCCAGGCACCCGGGTACCTGCTAGGAGAGGCTGCAGACACAGGGAATGGGGACGGGGGAGGGGGGGGAAGGGGGAAAGAGAGAGAGGGAGGGAGGGGAAGGGGGGTGCGGGGGGAGAGCAGAGACCCTTGGGGTGGCCCAGGACAGACTCGGGACGTGAGGAAGAAGTTGCGTCAAGGGAGGTCAAAACTGAGGAAGCAGCTCTGCGGTGTCTGTGGTGGGAGATGGGGGGGTTGTGGTGGGAATCAGAGGGGACCAGCTGGGGTGGGAGATGGGGGGGGCATCTGCGCCCCTCCCAGTCTCTTAGGAGCTGATTTGCATCAGGCTGCTTTTCTTATGCAAATTTCTGTGGCTTCTTCTTCCTGGGGGTGGGCAGACCCAGCTTCCAGGCCGTTCCCAGAAACAAGACAACAGGGTGGGGAGAATCCCCTGCCCTCAGGAAGGGACCGGACGGACCCTCGCAGGGCCTGAACTGAACCCTGAGAACTCACCCCAGACCGTCAGTCAGCTGACTTCTCTGTCTTCCTTTTTTCGGTCTAATTTTTGGGTCTCATCCAGCAGTGCTCAGGGGCACTCAGGGGCAGTGCCGGGTCCGAACATGACCCCAGGCAAAGCACGTGCTGTGCCCCCCCCCACCCGCCCGAGACGCAAACCTAGGTGGGTGCCAGCCTGCCGCGGGGCCAGGCCAGGTCGCTCCTCCTCCCACAGCTCCCCCTCCAACCCCCTTGAAGGGCTCAGTGGGAGATGGGGGGCTCTGGGTGGGGGGACAGGGCCAGGCCGGGTCGATGGTGCTCACACGGCCGCCAGCCTCAGGCGCTGTGGGCTGGTCAGGGGTCCAGTTTTCCCCGACCCATGACACACAGCACGGCCGAGGCCCCCCAGCCCGATAACACAGAGGGGGTGGCCGGGACTCTCTGTCTTTCTTTTTGTTTTGGTCTGGTTTGGTTTGGGGGTCCACCCGGTGGCGCTCAGGGCCTGCCCCTGGGGGACTCAGGGACGCTATGAGAGGTCGGGATGGAACGGGTCGGCCTCATGCAAGGCCAGCGCCGACCACTTCACCTCCCGCCCGTGTCTGGGACCCTCCCTGGGGCGGCGTCTCACCCAGGGCTCCATCCAGGTTCTGGAAGATCCGGCAGCGGTGGTCCAGCGTGATGTTGATGGCCGCCTGCAGGGACGGATGCAGGATCAGTGGACGGCTCCCTCTCGCCCCCACCCTGGGCAGCGCCAGTGCCCGGGACAGCGTGGGCTCTCGGGGGGACGCCGCCCACCCGGGCTCCCCTGCGCCTCGTACCCTCTTCTCCGGGTCCAGGAAGATCTTGGTGTAGTAGAGCTGGTCACTGTCGCTGTCCTGCCCGTCCCACTCGGCCACCAGCTTGCTGAGGCTGGGGGCGTAACCAATGAAGCCTGGGGATTACAGGGAGGGGGCACAAAGACAGACTCTGACGCCAGGGGCTTCTGCCCGGCCTCCCTGCCCATCCACCCTCTGCCTCCTCCCAGAAGCCCTCCAGGATTGAGCAGAAGCAATGTCTATGGGCAGATCGAGGTAATGCCCCCAGTGGCAGGTTCGAAATGAGCAGAGCGAGGACGCCCCCCAGTGTCCACACACTCCAGACAGGGGCCAGCAGAGGCGGCTGATGAGCGGATTCGACCGGAGTCTAAGTTATTGAGCACAGACTGTCAGGGGAAGAAGACCAGGCCTGGGCACAGGGCCGGGGAGGTGTCACAGTCCCTTTCCTTGGGCGGGGACAGTGATGAGGCACTGAGTCATCTTCATCAGGACCAGAAAAGTCTGAGGGTCCTGCAGAGACTGTGTGTGCATGAGAGAGTGTGCACGTGTGTGTTTGTGTGTGCATGTGTGTTTGCATGTGTACATGTGTGTGTGCGCATCTGCCTGTGTGCATGCACGAGTGTGCAAGTGTGCACGTGTGCGTGTGTACATGGGTCTTCATGCACGTGTATGCGTGCGTGCGTGTGTGTGTGTGTGTGTGTGTGTGTGTGTGTGTGTTGGAGCCTCCAGGCAGGAGCAGGGAGATGTGTGCAGTCTCTGCCCTGGTCACTGGGGGGAAAGGGGTCAGAGACCGGGACTCCCCTTCCTGTGTCTATTCCAGGGTGCCAGGCAGCACCCAGATGTCTATTTGGGAAGGACTCTGGTGCCAGCTCGGGGATCAGGGGACATGCAGTGCCCGTGTGGGCCTCCCAGCCCTGCTGCAGTTACTGGGGAAGCAGGTCCCTGGGGAGAAGCACACACAGCCGGAAAGAAACAGAGAGGAAGGGGCAGCCCAGGGACAGCCCGACCCCTGTGCCAGGCGTCTGGACTGTGAGATGCCAGCAGGAGCAGCCCAGGATGAGCCTGTGGGCTGGGCACGCCTATGGGCCACTCTCCAGGAGGAGGGGCTGGAGGGGCGGTCAGCTGTGGGGTGGGCAGGAGGTGGGAGGGGCTTAAACTGCTGGCAGGGTGGAGGGCAGGGGAAGGAGGAGGGGGAATGGAGGAGAGGGGAGGGGAGGGGAGGGAGGGGGAGAGGGGAGGGGAGGTACCCGGCCCTGTAAAGTGCTTGGGCAGCTGTTTAATGAGGAAGGTGTGCAGGGGAGCGGGGTGAAGGGTTAGCAGATCCGGAGCTGGAGCCACAGTGCCGGGGTTAAGGCACAGCCAATCCCAGTCCAACCCCACAGGGTTCCCTGAACCCCCCAGGAGTGACCCCTGAGCACTAAGCCAGAAGTCCGCCCTGAGCACCGCCGGGTGTGGCCCCCAACCAGACATCCACAACAGAGCTCCCTACTCAGTGCTCCGTGTGGCCCCTCACCTCCCGAGCCCAGGAACCTCTTGCCGTCGGGCACGGCGGGGTACTTGGCCTCCAGCCTGCGGTCGGGGTGGATGAGCTGCTCGGCCGAGAACACCACGCGGGCCCGGGCCTGCCGGAACTTCTTCAGGAGCTCACGGGGCCCCGCGGCGAACACCACGTCGTAGCTGGGGGCGGAACAGAGCTGGGCAGGGCAGGGCAGGGGCAGCTGACCCCAGCTGGGTCCCTGAGCTTGCCGGGGCCACAGGCCAGGGGCAGCAACTCCACCCACGGTGCCACCCCACCCTGGCCAGGCAGGGACACCCAGCACCCCTGCCCCCTCTCTCCAGCAAAGCAAGATTTGGTGCCGCAGGGAAGGCCCCTGCCCATCTGCTGCCCAGGAGAGTGAGCGGGTCAGTGACCTGGGCTAGAGGGACTCCTCCCCAAGGCGCTGGAGCACCTATCAGGGCCCCGGCCTGGGCACCCATCAGAGATCTGGTCCAGGCACCCATCAGGACCACCCATCCCAGGCATCCATCAGGATCCTGTTCCAAGCACCCATCGGGGCCCCAGCCCAGGCACCCATCAGGACCCCGATCCGAGCACCCATCAGGTCTCCAGTCCAGGCACCCATCAGGGCCCTGGCCCCCACCCCCCAGCCCCCGCCCCACCTACCTGTCCGTGAAGAGCACCACCAGGTCCTCCTTGCCGGCGAGCTTGTCCAGGGCCTTCCGCAGCAGCCGCACCTTCAGCCCCCCTCCTGCCGCCGCCTCCTTCCCGTCCCAGTCCTCCCCCAGGCCCAGCGACTGCAAAGACAGACCCTCAACACCTGCCCCGCGAGGCACTCGGCCCCGCCCCGGCACCCACGTGCCCATGCCCGGCCAATCAGATGGGCTCCATCCCATGCCCACGTGACACAATAGGGCCTATCAGAAGCTTCCCTGGGACTTCTGCTCTAGGGGACGAGCTGCTGAGATTGAAAAACTGGGTCTTTTGGGGAGTTTTTTGTTTTTGAGATTTTGGGGGGGATCACATGGGGTGATGCTCAGGGGTTACTCCTGGCAGTGCACGGGTGGATCGTAAAATGGGATGCCAGGGATCTAATCCCGGTCAGCTACTTGGCTAGGCAAACGCCCTACCCACTGCGCTATCACTCCAGCCCCAAGCTGAGTCTGTTGAGTCTGCAGATGCACGACCGTCCTCTTGCCACCCTATAGACTAGAGTATGAGCACTCCAGCACATGAAACCAAAACAGGGCTCAGAGGTGAAAAAGCTGAGCCCCACCAGCTGCCTGAGCTCCTGGATCCAGCCACCCCTGAAACCATCCCCTAATTCGTCTTTCATTCATGTGAGCTGCTACACTTTCTGGCTTCATGCTATGAGGCTGCGAGTGAAGCGGACGGTGACTGTCTGCCCTGCCCGTCCCTCTGTTCCCTGGCCCTTCCTGTATGTCTGAGGCACACTGACTAAATGAAGATGAGTTTTCCTGAAAACAGGACAGAGGCAGGCTGTGACCTTGGCAGGTAGGACACGAGCCTGGTCCTTTAGTGCTGATACCAGACCCTGGGGCTGGAGCGATAGCACAGCAGGTAGGGTGTTTGCCATGCACGCAGTTGATCAGGTTTGATTCCTCCGCCCCTCTCGGAGAGCCCGGCAAGCTACCAAGAGTATCCTGCCCATATGGCAGAGCCTGGTAAGCTCCCCGTGGCATATTCGATGTGCCAAACACAGTAACAACAAGTCTCGCAATGGAGACGTTACTGGTGCCCGCTCGAGCAAATCGATGAACAAAGGGAGGACAGTGCTACAGTGCTACTGGACCCTGAGCCCAGGGGGCCTCTGCATGACCCACATGGGCCAGCCTCTTACCCTCTGCCGCACCTCCACCCACATTTGCAGCCCTTCCAGAACCTTCTTTAAGCCCCCCCCATAAACCTCCTTTATACTTCCAACGTAGCTTCATCTTTGAGGCGCCCACCAGCTTCCTCTGGGGCCCCCACATCTTCTCAGGCATCCCCCCCCGCCTCTCCCCAACTCCCGCCGTCTCTGTCTCTCCCACAGCCCTCACCTGGACCTTGTAGTTGAAGAACTGGGCAGAGCGTTTGAAGCGTCGGAAGCCCTCGGTCTCCTTGGTGGCCACCGTGAGCACTAAAAGGTTGTCTAGGGACAGAGAAGGGATGTGAGTGGGAGTGGAGGAAGGGGGAGGTGACAGCGATTGCTCCCTGTGAAGTGCTCGCCAGGTCAGGCTGTGAGAGAAGGCCACAGGCCCCAGGAGCGAGGCCTAATGGGACATGATTTGGGTCTCCGTAACCTCCAACACCAGGTGAGTGTCCAGTGTGGCGGAAATACCCGGAGTACAGGAGCCAGCACTGGCCACGTGGTCTGAGTGTCTGTACTTAAGTGCCTCCAGCCTTCTACAGGGGGGCCGAGGGAACACCAGGAAGGCCCATCTGGACAGGCCAAGCACCGGGCACAAGGCAGAGAACGTCAGGCCTCGCCAGGCCTGCGCCCACAGCAGACATCACTAATCAATTTCAAGATCCTACAGAGACTCACACAGTCTTGCAACCCCGGGAGTCCCACAGGAGGAGAGACCAGCTGGAAATCCGCCCTAGGCCAGAGCAACTGAGTCACTTTACAAACACCGGGCCTTGCAGGGATGGGGCTGGAGAGATGGCACAGCCAGGTGTGCCTCACACCCACCCGGCGCCCCTCCCCGCAGATAAAGATAAAAGATAAAGGCCCTCCCGTTGATGTTGATCGTCGATTTGCTCGAGCAGGCCCAGTAACGTCTCCATTGGAGACTTTGTTGTTTCTGTGTCTGGCATATCGAGTACGTCACGGGGAGCTTGCCAGGCTCTGCCGTGCGGGAGAGATACTCTCGGTAGCTTGCCGGGCTCTCCGAGAGGGGCGGAGGAATCGAACTCGGGTCGGCCATGTTGGCCGCTTGTAAGGCAAACGCCCTACTGCTGTGCTATCGCTCCAGCCCCTCCCTGCAGGCAAAAAAAAATTTAAAACAATAAAGAATCCTGGTTCAGCCTTCCTACCTGGGTCACCTGGCACAAATCTCTGGCCTTTGCATCATATGAACTAGAGGGCCAGAGGCCTTAAGGGCTGGGGTGCAAGCTTCGCCCTGTGGGTTTGCTCCTCAACATGGCTCTGGGCCAGGAGCAGCCCCCAAATTCCAGCAGCTGTGGCCCCCACCAAGAAAAGAAAATTATTAAAAAAAAAAAAAAAAAAACAGGGCTAATTGCAGGACATACCTCCCAGGCTGCCGGGGTCAGGGGTGGCCAGGCTGAGCCCGGAGAGCAGGATGGAGGAAGTGGGCCTGCATCTGGCTCAGAACCGTCCACTGGGACCCAAACCCCCTCCCCAGCATTCAAGGTCCTCTGGGAAGGTCCAGGCCTCATTCATTCCCTCCAGTCACAGGGCCACTTTCTGCCAGCACCTTGCCCTCCAGGGCTTCTTCCTTCTAACCCTCAGTATCTTGCCTCCAGGACCCCAGACCACTGAGAGGGACCTCTTCCCTCTTCTTGACACCACCTCCAGAAAGCCTTCTCAGGGCTCACCTGCGTCCCTTTCAGCGGTTCATGGTTCTTCGGCTGAACCTGACTTCCTTGGGGTCCCAACAACCCTTTTCTTTTCTTTTCCTTTTTTTTTTTTTTTTTGCTTTTTGGGTTATACCTGGCGATGCACAGGGGTTACTCCTGGCTCTGCACTCAGGAATTACTCCTGGCAGTGCTCAGGGGACCATATGGGATGCTGGGAATCGAACCCGGGTCGGCCGCGTGCGAGGCAAATGCCCTACCCGCTGTGCTATCACTCCAGCTCCATCCAACAACCCTTTTCTAGGCAGAAGACCTGCGGGACCCCTCCTCACGGCCACAGGGTCCAGCTGTGCAGCCTGCAGGGGGCTAGTGGCAGGCGGCAGGGACTGGCAGGAGTGAGTTGGGGTGAGCTTGGATGGGGCCCAGGCCTGGTTTCACCTGGCATGTGTGGAGGGGAGCGGCTCACACTGAGGGGCTGCTGGGACAGGAGTGTCACATTTCAGGGATTCAGGGGTGGGGAAAAGCCAGCCTGGGCCGGGGCAGCAATGCCCGCCCTGCCCCGCCCCCTCCCCCACTGTCATTAGAGCTGGCGGGAGCCAGGAAGGGGCCTTGCCCTCCCCGGTGGCCTCTGATGGCACTTTCTGCACAGGGGACTTTTTTCTCGGCCTTAGATGCCCCCCTCCCCCCACGCATGTGTGTGTGTGTGCGCGCACACACACACACACACACACACACACACACACACACACACGCTTCCCACTGAAACAGAGAACTGTCAGAGCACACCAGGAAGAGGCAGGGCAGGGGCCCTGGACATTTGTCCCCACCCTTCATTCCACCAGGCCAGGCCTGACCCTCCCTGCACACCCCCTTGCCCCCCCCCGCTAGCCCCCTCCCCTCCCGACCGTACCAAGGACCCACCCTGGGGCCCTGGAGAAGCCGAGCTGCCTGTGCGCCCCAGCATCTGGGGCCCAGAAGCTCCCACTTCCCCGAGGGCCCCAGAGCCCCGGAGTCTGGGCGATTTTCTGTCTGACCCAGGTCAGTTCTGCCACGGGCCACACGTGGAAACCATTTCCTCGCCAGACTCTAGGCTCCCATGCAGAGGCCTGGACAATGGATGCAGCCTCTGTAAATGTCCCCGGCAACCCCTTCCTGGCCACCAAAATGCACTCCTTTCCCACCTCCTCCAGGAAGCCCTCCTGAATCTCATCCCCTCTGTCCTTTACTGAGCAGTTTCTGTTCGCCCAGCAGGAGACACAGCAGCTCGTCCTGGGGGGGCCAGCCAACCCCTAGAGTGATTCTCGGGGTCTCCCTCGCCCTCCCTTGGCTGGGGCTGAGAGTGACAGACTGCGAGAGCACTGTCTGGTCTTAAGGGGCCCAGGGCCCAGCGACAGTGGCAAGCACATTCACTGAGCCCGTAACCTGCCCGAGGCCAGAGAAGCCGGAGTGGGCACATGCTGGACCTCACCGACCCCTGGCCAAGGGCTCTGTTGCCGCTATGCACTGGGTGGGCAAGTGACGAGGGGTGGTGGGGAGGGGAGACCGAGGCAGAGAGGGGGGCTGTGCCTCCCTGCCCGAGCTCCGCATCCCGGGAGGAGCCTCCAGCTGATGCTTTGAGATGGCTTAGCATGTGCTCCAGCCCAGCTGGCCGGCTCCAATTCCAGAGAACCTTCTAGAAGGCAGGGAATCTGGGGGTGGGGGTGGAAGCAGCAGGTGCCCTGGGCATCAGGAATGGAGAGGAAGTGGTTACTTTTCTGAGGAGGCTAAATGGGGGGGTGGGGGTGCAGGGGCGCTGAGGAAGCTTCTGGAAGGTATTGGGCCAGGTATCAGGGTGAGGGGGAGGCTGCCTTAGCGCTTGGCTGTCAGAGGCACTGAGGGAAGCCCCCAGCACGGCCCAGCAGAATGATGCAGAGAGAGCAGATGGGGGGCCCCGGGTGGGGGGCCCCCAGGAAAGCCCCAAACTCACCTCGACCCTCGTTCCTGCTGCTCAGCGACCTCAGGCTCCCGGTGTCCCTCCCCCCAACACAACGGGCAGCTCCAGGGCCAGCAGTAGGGCAACGTGACCTCAATAGAAGCCCCATGGGACCACATCCAGCCGAGAGCTCCGAGTCTTGGACCCCAAGGCCCCACCCCAAAAGCCAGCAGACTCTGGCCAATCCAAGTGCAGGAAGCCTCTAGAAGCCTCTGGAAGCCTCTAGAAACAGTCAGCGGACCAGCCCAACAGCAGTCTGCGGTGGGGCAGTGCTCTGCCTGTCCCCCACATCCGGTCTGGGCGCTCCCCTGGGTGGGACACCATCTTCACCCTCAGAGGGGGGCTCTCCAGGAAGGGTCACCTCCCACATCAGACTGGCGTCCCCTGAGCTGAGGAGCTGGTAGCCTCCTTGGACCAGAAGCTCCCGGCAGGACAGTGACAACTGCCCGGCTCTGTGACCGTGTGCCCTGCCCAGGTGAGGTGTGAGGTGTGGCCCAGAGCAGTCCCAAGGCTCCATTTGAGCCCCTCCCAGCCCCTGCACCCACCCCAAAGGAACATTCAGTGGGGAGGGAGAGGCTGGCTGGCTGGGCGGGCGCTCAGGGCTCCCTCCCCAGCACTGTGCAGGGCAGTTGACATCTGGCTTCTCTCAGTGTTCTCCTGGCCAGCAGGCCCCTGAATGCCCCCACAGTTGGTCTCAACGTCCCATCAGGATGCAGGTCACAGGACCAAGCAGTGGCTGCTCATCCCAGCCCTTGACACTAACCCCCCAGCTGTGCTCCAGGCCCAGGTCTCCAACTGTTCAGGGACTCAGTTTGCCCAGCTGCAAAGGGGGCTCTCGATTCCCTACTCATCTAAAAGGTCTGGGTGGAGCCTGGGATGCCGACGGCCGCCGCTGGACACAGCTGGCCGTGATGTGCGTGGGAGCCCCTCTGTTTCACGACGGTCCACCCAGGCTCCAGGCTGGAGCACAGCTTCCATGCAGGACACAGAAAGGGGGCCCCAAGGGGCACACCCACAAAAAAAAATCTCTGCTCTGCTTCCTGTCTAGAAGAATGACCTGCAGAGTCTCAGTGCACCCCCCACCCCCAAGCCTGGACGCTGGGGGGGTGCCACACGCCCACTGTCCCTCTCCGTCAGCCGCTGGGGGACCCGGAAGCTGGAACCTGGTTTCCACGCGGTCTCCCCGACTCACCTCCCTGAGCATCTTGGTGGGCGGCTGGAGTTTCGCTCCTGAGAAGGTCTGGGGTGTCAGGAGCCACATGAGCAGAAAGAGAGAGACCCAGGGGACAATGTCTATTGAGGACCCCGGCCCAGCCTGACCAGGCCTGGAGCGGACCCCTGGCAAGTCCATGTAAGAGATCAGGGTTGAGGAACCCTCAGGGAGGGTCCAACCAAGATTCCCGGGGACGGCTAAGCGCCACCCGAGCCACAGCAAGGAGACGTGGCCAGTACCCGCTCAAACGGGGTACTCAGGAAGCGGGGCTCACCGCTGGCCCCGGATGAACCCCTTTCCTACCCACCCTGTCTCCCGGGTGCCCCCAGGAGGATGAGCAGTGGGGAACAGGGGGTCCCACGCAGTGGGGCATATGCAGGGAACAGCATAGTCTGTGTCTGACCAGCGCCCACCCCGGAGAGTGAAATCCAATCACTGCACCCCAATCCCCAGCACTGGTGCCCACCACGCCCAGGTGGGGCTACGGTATTTTAGGAGCCGCCTGGGGGGCAAGGGTTAGGGGGAGCAAAACTGCCCGGGTCACCCAGCATCCCGCCCCCTCTGGGGGGGGGGTCCCTGGTTCCCAGGTCCACAGTCTGGTGGTTGGCTGGGGGTGGAGGGTAGGTGGGTTAACTGGGGGGGCCCTCGGGAGGGGGGGGGTCCGGCTGATAGAAGGGGTGAACAAGCTGCCTGCAGGCTCCCCAAGGTGCACCGTGATGAGGGCAGGGGCCGGCTCCCCGCGGGATGTCTGGCCGGGTGGACACCACCTGTCCAAGCGCCCAGCGCGTCGGTGGTCAGCAGCAGCGGCGGGAGCCCCAGCCCAGCCCAGGCCCGGGGACAGCGGCGCCCCCGGCCCGGCCCCCCGCCCCCGCCCCCGCCGCGCGCCCTCGCCCCCGCCCGCGCCTCACCCTCGGGCCTCGCGTCGCCCTTGCCCTGGGCCAGGAGCAGCCAGGCCAGCGGGGTCAGCAGCAGCAGGGGCCGCATGGCCGCGGGCGAGCACGTCCTGCCGGCTCCCGGCGCTGGAAAGTTCGCGACGGGCCGCGGAGCTGCTGCCACGCACCGGGACCGCCCCGGGGGCGGTGTCCACCCGGCCGGGGACGGGCTGCCCGCCGGGTCCTCCCGCCCGCCCGCCCGCCGGCCTCCCGCCTCCAGCCCTCCCAGGAGAGGCCTGGAAGGGGGTCAAGCACCGGAGGAAATGGGGGGCTAAGGCGAGGCGATTTTTCTGCCTTAGAGTCCGCGCCCCAGGCCTGGTGGGCTCGCCAGCCTCAGTTTCCCCGGCTGACTAGCAGGAGTTCTCTCAGCGGCTGGGCCTTGGCTCCTGCAGGGTTAATGACCTGTTACCTGCAGCCCCAGGGTAGCCCTCAACAGGCCTGAGCTTCTCACAGGCCTGTAGTCCCTGGGCACACCCAGTGCAGCAGAGTCGGGGTGCTGGAATGGGTTCACAAGCACCCACAGTCTCATCTGGTCCTTGATTCTCTTGGCTCCTGAAATGCAGAACTGGAATCACCTCGATTGCTCCCATTCTCAAAAGGGAGTCAGTCAATCTGCCTCTGCCTGCCCCAGAGACAGTCTGGCGGGTAGGGCGATTGCATGTGGCCAACCCAGGTTCAATCCCTGGCATCCCAACACCGCCAGGATTAATTCCTGAGAGCAGGTCCAGGAGTAATCCCTGTACATCGCCGGGTGTAACCCCAAAACCAAGAAAATAGAAAACTGTTTTTCTATGTGAAGTTTAAAAAATAATAATGATCTGCTTCTGTGTCCCTGGTAAGCACAGAAAGTGTGCTGAATGCCATCACAGTGACAAGGCTGGCTAGAGGTCTTCCCGAGAGGGATCTAAGAAAACCCCACTAACAATGCAGACAGACAAAGCAAGGGTCATCTAGAACAATGGCAGGTCCCTTCCCAGACATGGACTAGGGACACCCACCTCTGGGGCAAACTCCCTTTCTTGGAAGAGGCCCTCAGAGGCTGGCGGGAAGCTCTTTCCATTCAGTGGATCAAGCATTAACAAAGGGACAAAGGGTGACAGTGTCTTAGATAGTATGAACTGACTTAAAGTAGATTCTTTCTTCTCCTTCCCTTCCCTTGGGAGAATGGGGTGGGGGTACCCAGCAGTGCTCAGTGGTTACCCCTAGATCAAAACTAAGCCTCTGCAAAGCATGAACTCAGCCTACTGAGCTGTCTCAGAAACAGTGCATTGGGGGACTGGAGCAATAATACAGTGGGTAGGGCGTTTGCCTTGCACACGGCCGACCTGGATTCAATTCCCAGCATCCCATATGATGCTCCAAGCACTGCTAGGAGTAATTCCTGAGTGCAGAGCCAGGAGTAACCTCTGAACATCACCAGGTATGACCCAAAAAGGAAAAAAAAAAAAAAATGAAACAGTGCGTTGAGACAGTGCCAAAAGAAAATGACAGCGAAACTTTTACAGAGATAGCTGTTAGGTGTCGGAATTAGACAATTTCTTTTTCATTGAGTTTGGGATGAATTTTCTGTTGCAAAGATGCAAAGCAGATGCTTACCAGTGAGCCACACCCCTACGTCCTGTATTATCATAATATTCTATGTTATTACAAGTATTTTATGTATATAGTGTGTATAATTGTTTCCAAGTAGTTTTTTTCTTCTTATTTATCTTTATTTTCAGAAAATTTTTTTTTCTTTTTGGGTCACACCCGGCGATGCTCAGGGTTGACTCCTGGCTCTGCACTCAGAAACCATTCCTGGTAGTGCTCGGGGGACCATATGGGATGCTGGGAATCGAACCCGGGTCAGCCACGTGCAAGGCAAACGGCCAACCCGCTGTCCTATCACTCCAGCCCCTTCAGAAAAAAAATTTTAACAGATGACTATATACTGTTTGAATAAACCAAACACACATATGTTTCAAAGATAGGGACTAGCCTGGAATCAGCTCTCTCTCTAGCTCTGTATTCATTACACAGAGGTGAGGTGCAGAAGGGCCCAGATACAAGTTCACAACCACAAGCGAGAAAGGGAAGTGGGCTGAGTGCAATCCAGGGTCTCTACCTCCCCAGGGGACCAGCTGGCGGGGTGTGTCTGCAGCTGGGGACAGACTCCCTGCCAGAACCCACCGGATGTTTTTCAATGTAGGAGGATGCAGACTGAAATTCCAGCTTCTTCAAGAAGGGATGAGCAGGGGGAAGAGAATAAGCCCAAGATGATGGAGTTTCAAAGATCTGCCTTATCCCAGGTTTTCCCTGTGAGTTCAAGTTCGAGTTCAAGGTCAAACAATCTTGGTCTCCAGAAAGATATCAGAGTGGGTAGGGCACTTGCCTTGCACAGGGACAACCCTGGCCAACCCTGGCTCGATCTCCCCGCATCCCATGCGGTCCCCCAAACACTGCCTGCAGTGATTCCTGAGTGAATAACCCCTAAGCATCTCTAGATGTGCCCTCCCCCCCCCAAATAAATAAATGAAACAATTTCAACAGTTTGTTCACATATGTGACCTAAGGAAACAGGCTCCAAGAAGGGCCTGGGGCCACAGGAAGGGAGGGGCATGGGAACCCCGCTGTGATCCCCCTGCTGCAGGATCCACGGAGAACTTCTATACTGATTATACTGTGAACAGCAGAATCCTTCCTTGGCTGAGATCCCACCGCCTGCGATTCCAATCCAGGACAATCAGGAGGGAGAATCAACTTCTGAAGTTGCTGGCCTCTGGAGACGCCGAGAAAGGATGTGCCCTGGAGAACCTAGCCGCCTCCGCCCTTCTCTGCCCGCGGTCCCTCCAAGAGGAGGGCCTGTCCCTTTAACCAGCGGCGGCCGCCCCACCCGCCGGATTCCCCAGAAGTTACAATGTACGTGCTGCACGTGTGTGGACCCTTAAAGGCGCCGCACCCAGCTTCCCCGGGACGGGGCTGGGAGGGAGAGCCGTCTGGGGCAGGCATGGGCCGCTTCTCCCCTTTCAGTTGCTTTTTTTTTTTTTTTCTGTCTTCTTCTTCCTTGGCCAGAAGAAGGAAGGGTGGGTTGGTTCCAGCGAATGGCCGCAGTGGCTTCTTCCCTTTCATAGTCAGTTTGTCCCACTGGCACTTAGTCCTCCTAGTAATATTCATAAAAATAGAATGCCTAAGCTGTTCCTCTAAGCGAAGGAAGCTGCGTGTTTTTTTAATTATATACTACAATTTCTTTCCTTTCTTTTTTCTTTTCTTTTTTTTTGACTTTTTGAGTCATTCCCGGCGATGCTCAGGGATTACTCCTGGCTCTGCACTCAGAAATTACTCCTGGGGCTGGAGCGATAGCACAGCGGGTAGGGCGTTTGCCTTGCATGCGGGGAACCCGGGTTCGATTCCCAGCTTCCCATATGGTCCCCTGAGCACCGCCAGGAGTAACTCCTGAGTGCAGAGCCAGGAGTAACCCCTGTGCATCGCCAGGTGTGACCCAAAAAGCAAAAAAAAAAGAAAAGAAATTACTCCTGGTGGTGCTTGGGGACCATATGGGATACCGGGATTGAATCCAGGTAGGCCATGTGCAAGGCAAACGCCCTACCCACTGTGCTATCACTCCAGCACCTTTACTATTTCTGTGAAAGGAATTATATATATACATATATATGTACGAAGTCTCCAATGGAGACGTTACTAGGCCCGCTTGAGCAAATCAATGAACAATGGGAGGATGATATATATATACATATATATATATATACACACACATATATGGATTTTTAAGCTAATAGGATATTCTATAAGAATATTAAAAAAATTGGTAGCAGTGGTTCTATCCAGGAAGAGCCATAGAATGACTTGAGGCCTTAGGAGGGAGGAAAAAAATTCTGAGAGGGGGGCCACACTCTGCAATGCTCAGGAGTTACTCCTGGCTCTGCGCTCAAGAATTACTCCTGGCAGTGCTCGGGGAATCAACCATATCGGATGCTGGGGATCGAACCCACGTTGGTGTGTGCAAGGCTAGCACCCAAGCCACTAGACTATCTCTCCAGTCCTGGGAGAAAGATTTTTAACTCATTTTCTATCATTTTGAATTTTGCACAGGCGTTTTATTTTTCTCAGTAAAAAGATAAATAATGGGTAGTTATTCTAAACCAGGCAGTACACAAATCTCGTTGTGTGTTGTTCGTGCACATTCTCTGAGCCTTTTCTTTTTTCTCAGGCCACACTGGCTATGCTCAGGGCTCACCCTTGGCTCTGTGCTCAGGGATCACTCCTGGAGGGGCTTGGGGAATCTTTCTGGTGGTGGGGATCAAACCCTGATTGGTTGCATGCAAAGCATGTGCCCTATCCACTATACTATCTCTCTAGTCTCTGTTATCCCTGCTTGATGGATGGATGAGGACCAGGAAAGGAACGATTGCTAGCAAAAGCAGGAACTGAGATTCAGAACCCTAGCCTGGGGGCCAGAGCGGTAGTATAGTGGGTAGGGCGTTTGTCTTGCACATGGCCGACCTGGGTTCAATCCCTGGCATCCCATATGGTTCCCCCAAGCACCACCAGGAGTAATTCCTGAGTGCAGAGCCAGGAGTAATCCCTGCGCATTGCTGGGTGTGACAAAAAAAAAAAAAAAAGCAAAACCTTAGCAGCCTTGGCACCTGCAGGTACATTGGCGTGATAGAGGAGTTAAGAACACAAATAGTTGAGCCCAGAGAGATATAGTCCAGTGGGGAGGGCGTTTGCCTTGCAGGCACCCAACCCAGGTTCAACCCCCAACATGCCACCAACATTCCATATGGTCCCCTGAGTCCCACCAGTAGCTATTCCTGAGCACAGAACCAGGAGTAAGCCCTGAGCACCACCAGGTGTGGCAAAAAAAAAAAAAGAAAAAGAAAAAGAAAAAAGAACAAGAACACAAGTACAAATAATGAGCCTTCTCTTTGATCCAGGAATCTAACAATCTATTTTAAAAAGCTGAAAATTTATAGATTGACACAGTAGGCGAAAACATGATTTCAGCAAGTGATAATATGATCATTGTAAGTTTCTGGCTGACACAGATGTTTATACAGCAGTTACATGAGCTCATTTTTACTGCCACTTGCTGTCAAAGAACC